CGCGCGAAAAGCAATGAAAAAACAATGGGGAAGCAGTGGTTTTTGCCGATGGAGGCTGCTCCGGAAAACATGACAACGCCCTCTTGGGCCGTCTTGGGTGCCTCGTGGGCCGCATCGGAGCGATGGTGGGCGTGCCAGGGCCGTTTTGGAGCCCTGTGGGCCTCCGTGACCACCCTTGTGGCCTGTCTATGCTTGAGTCGGGCGTGTCCCCCTACAGGCGGATTTTGGACGACAAATAAATTCAAAAAGTACCCCCAAATAGTCAAAAACATGATAGAAAAATAATCCCCAGTATTTTTTTCGTATTTTTGAATGCTCTTCCTGTAAAATGACAGGCCCGACTTAAGTCTATGCTCAGTTGGGGGGCCGCCTGGGCGAGTCTGCGCGCCTCCTGGGCCGTCTTGGCGCCGGCGTGGGGTGCCTTGCAGCCCCGATGGGCGCCGTTTGTGCTGTCCGCGCGTCGGGCAGCGGAGCACCGGAGGGTTCCAGAGGGGGTTTTCGGGGAGGAGGTTTTCCAAGATGGGGTCCCCCAGGGGCTTCGCACCCCCTGTTTTGACGAGGTACCCTCTGGGTGCAGGCGACCACAAGAGAACCCTTGGAAAACGCACAGGACATGATCGATTTTGGCTCCTGGAGCCTGCCTCGGGGATGAGCTTGAAGCCCTCCTGGTTCGCCCTGGAGGCTCCCTGAGCCCGCGTCGGAGCAATGATGGCTGTGCGGGAGCCGTTTTGTGGCCCTGGGGGCCTTATTGAGGGTCATTGTGGCGTGTTCGAGCTCACGTGGGGCGCCGCCCGGAGCCCTCTGGGGCGAACCTAGGCGCCTCTTAGGCCGACTTCGCGCCCTCTTCGGGTGTCTTGGGGCCCTCTTGGGCGCCTTTTCTGCCGTCTCCGGGCGTCGGGCAGCGGAGCAGGCGACCACGCAAAAATCATTGAAAAACCATTAGGAAATCAACGATGTTCGACCCTGGAGCGCCTCTCGGGGATCGCGTCTCGGAGGCTCCTTTAGCCCGCATGGGAACAATCATGAGCGTGTTGGGGCCGTTTCGGGGCCCTGTGTGCCTCGTTTAGGGCCCTTGTAGCGTGTCCGAGCTCATTGGGGGGTTCGCCTGGAACCCTCTGGGGCGATTTCGGGCGCCTCTTGGGCCGTCTTGGCGCCCTCTTCGGATGTGTTGGGGCCCTCTTGGACGGGTCTTGTGTCGTCTCCAAGCGTCCGTCGGGCGACGAGCAGGCGACCACGCGAAGATCTTTGAAAAACCTCAGGGGAATCGACGACTTTCGCCCCTGGAGCCTCTCTCGGGGACAAGCCTGAAGCCCTCTTGGTGCGCCCCGGAGGCTCCCTGAGCCCGCATCGGAGCAATGATGGCTGTGCGGGGGCCGTTTTGGAGCCCTGAGGGCCTCGTTCAGGGACCTTGTAACGTGTCCGAGCTCACTTGGGGGGCCGCCCGGAGCCCTCTGGGGCGCTTCTTGGGCGCCTCTTGGGCGTCTCGGGACCCGGGCGCCTCTTGTGCCGTCTCTTGGCGTCGGGCAGCGGAGCAGGCGAGCTCATCGAAATCCTTGAAGAACCTTTGGGAAACCAATGACTTCTGCCCCTGGAGCCTCTCCCATGGATCAGCTGGAAGCTCTCTTGGGGCGTCGTGGAGGCCGCGCGAGCCGTTTCGAAGCAATGGTCGGCGTGCTGATAGCACTGTTGCGCTTCCTAGCCCCCCGTGTGGCCCTCTTGGAGCCCTCTTGAGGCCCTCTTGGGCCCCCGGGCCCCACGGTCGGGGGCCCGGGGCCGGGCCCGGTGCGCGCGCACGAAACGCGCGCTCTAGGCTCCAGCCGCGCTGGAGGATCTATCATTGCAAATTGCCGTTGGGTGCTGCCAGGTTGACTCGGGAGTTCCCGTAAGGTTAGCCGTGGGACCTGCCGGTATTTGATATGGTAGCCCAGAAGCCGTATAAGGGGATCTTTGGGGGCTGAAGAAATCAAAGGAGAACTGGGGTGCCCGAGTCTGGCTCCGCACTCACGTCGCTTGAGCCGAACCATGGTGCATCGGGACCCTCGCGCGCGCTTCGCGCGGGCTCAAATTCTAGCCAATCACCGAAAACCGGCGCATGCTGCCTTACACCATCTGAACATGGAGATCCTCAGCCTCTCCTACTCTGGCTACGATTCCTACTCCTCCTTTTCCTCCCCCTCCCCCCTTTTGTCTCGTTCCTCATCTTCCTTGCTTCGCCTCCTCCTTCTCCTCCTCCTCCTCCTCCTTCTCCTCCTTCTCCTCCTTCGCCTCCTCCTCCTCCGCATGTGCCTTCGGTGGTATTCTTGGCCTCGATCGTCGATGCCCCTCCTGCCTGGATCCTCGTCTCATCCACGATCCTTTTCCCGATGGCCTCTAAGATGACCTCGAGAGAGGCTCGAAAGCTCCGAAGCAAGGGCCCCAAAGGCCCCTAAGAGATCCCCGGGCGGCGCCCATGACGCCAACATCCTCCAAACGCTTACAAGGAAACAGTAGATGTTGGTATTCTCGCCGATTCACTTTCGGCGTGCTTCCCCAGGCTTCGCGATAATTCCAACATGGGCCTAGAGAGGGACAAGCGGCGCTCCCCCCGGGCCTGCAGGGACCCGGTCGCGAGGTGTCGGAGGGCCCGTTTTGCATGATGGCACCAAGTGGAGCCCATGTGGCCCAAGATGGCTTCGAACGTCGCACCAGAGGGCCAACGATGGCTGAATATGTATCAGAGCATGCCTCCAGGAGGGCCCAAGAACACTCGACCATGGGCCCATAGGGGCACGGAGCCTCCGATGGAGGCATCCCAGAGGCAACAACCCGTGCAGAACCGAAGGAACGTCGCAAATATGTGCATTTCTGCCTTCGCGCTTCAGAGTGGCTTACTCGGCCTCTCGATGGCTCTAAGATGGACCAAGAAAGTTCTAAGGCGGCCATAGGAACGTCATGTGTGCACACATGCGTAAAATCTACGTGTTTATACCTATATATTTCTGTTAAGTTGTACGTGTGTGCATATCGATGTGCCTTCGGACCATCCCGCCACGGTGCCTGGGCTGTGTGTCAGAAGCCTCTTCGTTGGTACCTCGTGGGGGCCTCTCGGGAACCTCGTCGAGTGCGGCTATGAAGCCTCTTGGGGGCCGTTGTGGGCTTATTGGGGCCTTTTTCGGGCCTCTTGGGGGCTTCTTGGGGGGCCTCTTGGGGGGCCTCTTGGGGGCCTTGAGGCGCCTCTTCGGGGCCTCTTTGGGGGCCTGGGCCTCTTTGGCGGCCTGGGAAGGCGAAAAGCTGGAATTGCAAGTTCCTGTTCCCGCTCTCGGGGCCCTCTTGGGCCGCTCTGGGGCCCCTTTTGGGCCGGGGCTCTTGGGCCGTCCGGGGCCTCCCGAACGGTGTCTGACGCCGTCTTGGGGCTTTCTTGGACCCCTCTTGGGCCGTCTAAGAGCGCGGGAAGACCGAAGCGGTAAGAACGCCAACATCCATCAAACACCCGAGGAACATCTCTTATGATACCGGAGAATAACCCAATCAGGGCAATAGGGCTAGGGGGCTATAGGGCTAGGGCTATATATTGAGCTATAGGGCTATAGAGCCATACATAGGGCTATAGAGCTGTAGGGCTATAGGGCTATTGGGCTATAGGGCTATAGGGCACCCTCTGGGGCACCCCCGGGCACCCCCGGGCACGCCGGGCCATCCGGGCACCCGGGCACCCGGGCACCCCTGGGCACCCCCGGGCACCCGGGCGTGCAGCAAAAATCGGCGGCCAACCTCACCCCTGGGCACCCCCGGGCACCCGGGCACCCGGGCGTGCAACGACAATCGGCGGCCACGCTAACCTAACCATATGAATCCGCCAGGACACCTACAGAGGCAAGCTCAGATTGGGGAACTTTGGCCTCTTGGGTCACTCGTCGGGGTCCTCTTGGAGCCTTTTTGGGCCGTCTTGGGGGCCTCTTCCGCTTGTAAAGCTTCTTGGGTCGTCCGAGACCCCTGGAGGCCGTCTTCGAGGTGGCTCGAGGCCGTCTTGAGCCTCCCAACAGCGGGCCCGGCCCCGAAGCGCTCCGAAAAGGGTCGCCCCCACCCCCGGAACTAAAGAAGGGGGGAGGGGGGGGGGGAAAATTGGAAAAAATGTGCCGCCCCCAGGGCCGGGGGCACAGTTCCCCATTGTATGATATACTTCCGCCATGCCTCTACTCTAAGAGGCCCCAAGAGAGCCACAAGACGGTCCCAAATGCTCTCGGAGCCCACCCAAAGACCCTCCCAAAACGGCAAAAACCTGACACAGTCGAGCATGTACAATACATGATTTATGCAATCTCGCCTTCTCGCATCCGATACTTGTTTGAGGCCTCAAGATGGCCCAACAATTGGCCCACGAGAGCCCTAAGAGAGCCCCAAGAAGCACCAACGACTGCCCCAGTACCCCCCAAGAGCGCCCCAAGAGGGCCCCAAGAAGGTTCCATGAGGCGATGTTGTAGGCTCTTGACCGGGGCCCTGAATTAAGGACCACCTTCTTTTGATCGACGCCCTCCAAGGTGGCCCCAAGAGGCCCCCAATGGCCCCAAGACCCTACAAAAGAGCCCCAAGAAGATCCCAAGACTCCCTCAAATAGCTCCAAGAGGGCCCCAAGAGAGGGCCTGCTCGGCATGATCGCGAGTTTCCGGTTAGAGGCAACCTTCTGCCTGGGCATCGTTTCTGATGAGTAGGACTGTGGAAGCATTCGAAGCGCCAGCAATGAAGCTAAGATTCAAAGACATACTCAAACAGACAGCCAGCAGTATGGACAAAGGGCGAGCTGGCTCGTTGCGTGGCAAGTGCTTTGTAAACAAGTACGCGACATGGGGGACAAGCGGGAAAAGCCCCCAATCAGTTGTCCAGTTGTCCGTCCCTAACATGTGAACGCGACGCGGTGGACCAGCAAGGAGGCGAGGAAATATGGTATCACTGGGCAAGGGCCCACGAGGTTGCGTTCCCCTCGACCCTCTCGCTCATCCGCCTGCTCTTGCAAGAGCCCCCACCGATCAATGACGCACACCTCCACGCGCTTCAGCAAGTCGCTCCGCTTGTGCCTCGACCCACCCACTTCCTAAGCGCACGCACCTGCAACGGATGCCTGCCATTCACGAGGAACGATCACTCTCCCCCTCTTGGCGGTGCGCACAAAGGAGGTGGAGGGAGGGGGGAGGGCTTCTTAGAAGGATGCTGCTTCTTAGAAGGCGCCGGGCTTTGAAAAACTCGGCACTCGCCTCGCATTCCCCGTCCCGCTCCTCAGCACGAGATACAACTGAAGGCATCACAGGCCGCGCGGAACAAGCAGGTCAAAACATAGCGCACAGCAGAGCGCAGACCAGCCACTTCCACGCACACCTTGCACGACATCCAGCTGAGCCAGACCCCAAGAAAGCGCCCTGCAAGCTCGCTGGAACGCATCCTGGACCCCGGGGGCCTTCCCCCAAGACGAACGCTTCATCCTGAGTCGTTTTCTGACAGTCACGGGGCCCGTGGAGGGCCCCGAGAGCCCAAACACAACGAAACACCTAGGAACCCGTTGCCCTCAAGACCCGCCTCCTTCATGGCGATTGTTAATCGTGGTCCAGATTTTGCGCCCGCCGCCCTCGGAGACAAAAACTCCGGCACTCGCCCCTGGGTGGGGGCGTCTAGCCCGACGTTGAAGCCACAGTGGCGACACACCGACCCCACCTATCGCTGCACTGGCCCGCTCCCCCATCCCTGAATCCCCCCAAGCCCCGACGAGCTTCGGCGCGCGCCAGCGTGGCCGCAACCCAAGCTGGCTCGGGGCGCTGCCCCAGCAGCCGGGTCCTGCAGCTGCCGCCGCTCAGTGCCAGAGGTTTTTGGATGGGCGCGCCCGCCCAGGGCAAGACGGGGGGCGGAGGCGGGAATCGCTCCTGGTCGCCTGCCCCGCCCCCTCGGTGGCCGTCCCACTTCCTGCGCTCCGTGCGCCTCCGATAGCTGGGCCGCCGGGCCCGAAATCGAGGCTGGCCGGGGCCGGCCCGCTCTAGCCCGAGCCTGGCTCGACCCGTGTGCTGGCTGGGCCGGGCGGCAACGCGGACTGGATGTCGGATGCCCGGGTACACGTCGTTCATTTCTAATCGTGCCCATTTCTAATTGTGCTCGTGTCTAATTGTTCCAGGCCCGCCGGCCCCCTTGTGGGGCCACCAGGCTGTAGGGCGAAAGTTCGCAGTTTCCTGTACCAGTTGCAGCTTCCAGTTTCCACTGTTACAGTTCTGCTTCTTGCTGCTGTTCCTTGTTGATGGACCGCGCGAGGGGGGGGAGGCCCTAACGGGCAGGTTGGGCATGCCCTGAGCGTGTGTGAATTGCTGGGGTGGGTAATAATTTACACCCCTCACGCAGATCGGCGGGGTCAGGATCCAAAAACACATGGGATTTGCCACATTTCTGAAATCCGATGGCACCCCTCACGCAGATCGGCGGGGTCAGGGTCCGAAAACCTGAGGGATTCTCAACATTTCTGAAATTCGGTGGCACCAATCACGCGTATCAACAGGGTCAGGGTCCAAAAAACACATGGGATTTGCAACATTTCTGAAATTCGGCGGTACCCCTCACGCAGATCCGTAGGGTCAGGGTCCAAAAACACAAAGGATTTGCCACATTTCTGAAATTCGGTGACACTCCTCACGCAGATCCGTAGGGTCAGGGTCGAAAAACAAACAGGTCCCGACACTGCTTCACGGCGGCGCCCAGACCTCATGATTAGCTTTTGCATCTCCCATTATCCGAGACAGGGGGCCGGCGGCATGGGGCGAAGCCCTTACGGATCAAAGAACTTTCGAAGAGCTAGGAATGAACAGTGTGCATACCTAGGGATGAACAATGTGCATACTTCAGAGGGTGCGCGCACGGCTTCGACTTTCAGACACCAGGGCCGACTCGCGCTCCTCCTCTCTCTCGCCCTCGCTCCTTCCGTCCGCGTCTCGGTCCGCCCCGCGCGGCCCCGGCCCTCCCCGCCCTCCCTGGCCTCGCCTCCCTCCTCGTCCTCCTCCTCCCGCTCGCCCCTCCCCCTCGCCCCTCCCACCCTCGCACGTCCGCCCATGCCAATCCGCGGCTCGGTCGAGGCCGACAAGCGTGCCACATGGCCACCCCCCCGGCAGGTCCCACCTCCCACCGTCACCACCAGCGCAGGCGGCGATCCCCAGGGCGACCCCTGAAACAAGAATGGGCCACGCGGATCTAAACTTCCGACGGTCAACGCGGACCTCTCGAGTCGGCGCAGTTACAACAAATCCACGCGAACCTCCGAACAGTTGTGTGTTGCCCTTCTTTCTTCTGGACCTTCTCTCTCCCCCGTCACTGGCTGCGCCGCTGGCGCAGGCGGCATCGCAGGCCCGCGCAACCTCGATTGCAATCCAGCGCGCTCCTGTGCAGAACTCCCCCCGCGGTGGCGCCGCTCTCCGGCCCCCGGCACGCCAGAAGTTGCCCTCGTCGAAGGCGATGGTCATGAACGGGCCTTCCAAAGACACGAAATTGACCTCGCCGCGGGCTGCTTGGGGCGGTCGATGCTGGCCCTCCCTGCCGCTTTTCTCCTGGCATCTCTAGGCTCCGGGGAGAATGCCATGCGTTCAGTAGGCTGCGGTCCTAGAAGTGGGGGGGCCTCTCTGCCCCTGTTGGGGCATACACAGCGAGTGCTTCGAACTTGCCCAGGGGCGCACGCAGCAGCAAGAAGCGCCACCACCAACGGGCCCAGACAGAAACCACGATTGCAGAAGTGGCCTCTGATCACCTGCACGGACTGTATAGGGGACCATGGCATTGCACGCCCCATGAGGTTCAGTTGAAACAGTTCCACGAAAAGACAACGGATGGGGCCAGAAATAACGACGGCGAAGAAGAGGCAGAAGAGGAAGGAGGGAGGCATCTGCCCGAGGCCGCCCCGCTGCACGAGGGAGGGCACGAGGGAGGTTGAGGTCCCGGTCGAATTTGAACAGCGCCGCACTCCGCTCGACCGTCCAGGGGCGCCGCACAAGGGCGACAGCTGCTCGCCTGGCAGCCCCCGTGGAGGGGGAGTGGCTCCGCGCCGCAGGGCGGGGACAACCGCGCGCCTTGGCAGCACCAGCGGAAGCCGAGGCCGGTTCGGATCTGCATGGGGCACCACTCGGCTGGGACAGCCACAGTCACCATCATCACCGTCGTCACCGCCGAAAACATATCAGCAGGTTCGCCTTTTGACACCAGGAGGGCTCCAAAACGGCAAAAGGACCACCAGGAGAGCTCCAAGACGGACAGAGAGACTCCCAGTCAGCCGGACGGAGAACCGGAACGGACACTTCGAACCTTCGGCTCCAAGACGCCCCCAACGTGCCCCAGGGACCCCCAGGAAGCCCCCCCAAAAAAACAGAGGAGTCGGCGGTGTGGCGTAAGCCTAAGAATCACCACCATCACCGTCGTCACCTCCGACGCCGCCGTCACCATCATCAGTCGCTCGCCCGAGTCGTGGATCTGCATGGTGAGGGTCCTCGCGCCACTGCGCCAGCTGAACGTCGCCAAGGAAGCTGCAGGTGGGTGGGTTGGATGGTTGCTCGAACCTTGGGGATGCCGACTCCAAGCCTTTCAAACAATAGTTGCACCCGATACAGTTTCTGTTCTAGAAAGGAGGCAGACACTCTGCCGAATGCCCAGGCTAGACTTAACGGCCTCGCTCGAGACATTGATCTCCACACATAGTCTGCACCACCGCCCATCGCACATGTTGATGTATTCTATCCCAGGCGTTCACCTTACCGCCCCCGTCATCCTAACCGACTGCTGCCACAAGGAATTGGCTTTCTGTACAGAAATGCGAAACAGATGTGCTCGCACGCGCTGAAATCACAAGAACACGAAATGTGTTTCGTGACTCTGCAGCACGAATTTATGCGGGCCACGCGCGCACATGTCGAATTCCGTGATGGATCATGGCGCACCCGGCAAATCTTTCAACCTTGATCCACTCCCTACGATTCTGGATACAAGCGAAGGGGGGGCACCTGGGCTGCCTTGCAGGGGCTGCCTGGCTCCAGCGCCAAAGTAAAGAAGCTTGCTGCGGACGTTGATGTTTGTTGAAACCATGGGCCGACGCAGGCGCAGTTTCTGACAGAGCTATGTGGGTCGGTCGCGACGCGGGGCTTGGAAGCCAACGTGAAGAAGCCCGCCGCTGGCGCCGACTTCTGCTTGTGAAACAACCGGCCAGACGCATGCGGCGGCTTGCATGAATCAAACGTGGATGTGTCGCGGGCGTGGGTCGCGGAGTGGGGCGTGAGGGCGACGACGACAACAATGACAATAATTGTAAGTCTGCCTGTTCTTCGCTGCTCGCGTGCCACACAACATGCCTCGAGCCATCGATTACCACCCTCTTTGCTTGTGAAAGTACGCGCCCACTTATAGCACATCTTCCTTGCATGCCACGTGCAAGTGACGCAGCCCTTAAAATCCGCCGACCATGTCGGCGTGTGGAAGAGGCTTCCCCGTCTGTTCCCTCTTCGTCGTCGTCGTCGTTCCTTCCCCTTTCCCCACAGCGTCGTTGCTTCTACCCCTCTCCCAGGGCCTCCTCCTGAAGCATGTCAGTCCAAAGCGAAATTGAGCAACGTCGTAATTGAGTCGAAGAGAAGCCCCTTCCCTTTGATCCCTTCCCCGCTCGGGGGGGGGGTGGTCCCGGGGGGGGTCCCGGGGGGGTCCCGGGATTTTACGCCGCCCCCACGGGGAACCCGGAGTTTAAAAAAGCCCCAAGACGGGCCAAGAGTGCCCCAAGAGGCCCCCAAAACGATCCAAGAGGGCCCCGAATCGCCGAATGATCTGTCCAAGACGCCTTGACGGCCTCCAGACGGCCCAAGAGACCTGCGAGACGCCCCAAGAGGCCTCCAGGACCGTTCCCACGAGAGCCCCAAGAGGCAAAAATCATGGATTTCCAACACGTTTTTCAAGAATTTTGGCGTTCTCGCCTCTTCCGCTTCCCCACGCGCCAAGACGGCCCAAAAGGCCCCCAAGGTCGCCCCGGCCCAAGAGGCCTCCAAGAGAGTCCCCAAACGGCCCAAGAGTGCCCCAAGACGGCCCAAGACGCCTCCAAGACGGCACAAGAGGCCCCCAAGACGGTTTCAAGAGAGTGCCCAGACGGGGGACCCGAACGGACATTTCGAGCCCTCAGCCCCGAGAAGCCCCCAAGAGGCCCCCAGGAAGCCCAAAGAGGCCCCAAGAGGCTTTTTTTTTTTCACCCCAGATCCAGCGCCGCGGACTCCGCCACGCTGGAGGCTTGCCGCACTGAGCTCAGTGCGGCCCCGCGAGGCCCGCGGGCCTCACCCACCTCTCCTCGTGGGCACCATCTCGGCGGGGAGCGGCCTGCCCGTCTGCGGGTGGCAGCCGCGGAGGATGCGGTCCCGCCTCTTCCTCCTGGAGTCCGCTCCTCCGTCGGCCCCTCGCCGCGGCAGGGGCCCAGGACAGGCGCGGCCCAAGCTGGCCCGCCTCACCGCCGAGTGGGCCCCGCACACGCGGCAGACGACGTAGGGGCCGACGACCTCCACGACATGCGCCCTCCTGACATCCTCCTCGGCGCTCGGCGGGCCCTCGAGGACAGGCACGTCCGCCGCCTCCCTACATCTCCGAGGCGACCTCGACCTCCGAGGTGACCTCCCTGCAGCACTGCCGTCTTCTCCATCATCTCCGCCTGCAGCTGCCGCCGCCACCGCCACGCCAGCGCAGGCCGCCGCCGCCCCCAAGGCGCCGCCAGCCCCACGCCCTGCAGCCGTGGACGCCTCCTGCCTTGCAGCCCTCTGCCTCCGCGCGCATGCGGCTCCCACTCTAGCGCTCCCAAGAGGCCCCCAAACATCCCCCCAGAGGCCCCTGAGAGCGCTCGGAAGAAACCCCAAGAAGCACGTTTGAGGACTCAACCCACGTCAGCATCGTCGTCGTCGCTACCGCCGCCGCCGCCGTCGTCGTTCCTCTTCAGGGTCGGCGGCACCGGCCGTAAGGCCTTCGCAATAGGAGGATGACGGAAAAAGAACAAACGGGGAGAGCGAGGAAGGGTTGAGGAAAGGAGAAGAGAGGGGTGCACGAGGGAAGGAAACTGATTCATGACGACAAAGAATTCGCAGGAGGGGGAGGAGAGTGGAGAAGGACTGTTGGCAGGCGGACCCTAACGGGCGGCTCGGGCGAGCGGACCCTACGGACGGGTCGGGCGGGCCGACCCTGACAAGGGAGCCGGGAGGTCAGGGCCGTGGCTAAAGGTAGAGGACGGGCTTCCAAGCAAGAAGGATGGGCGGGCGGACCCTGACGCACCGGTCGACCGGGCAGAGATCCTACCTGACAGGTCGGCCAGGCGGACCCTCTGGCGGACGGATCGGTCGGGCAGACCCCATCGAGCGGGTCGGGCGGGCGGATCCTGACGGGCGGGCAGGGCGGGCTTACCACCCTGACGGGCGGATCGGGCGGGCTTACACTAACGGGCGGATCGGGCGGGCGGCGGGGCCGGGCGGGCCACGAGAGCCAACACAACGGAGCCCCACGTCAGCTACGCACCACGGGTTAATGTCCGACTGCTCGGCCCTCTCAGACTGACCATGCGGGCCTTTCGAGCTCGTCCTTGACCGCGCACGTCGAATTTACTGCTGAATCCGTAGTTTCCTGAGCATGTCAAAAACGGGCTGCTCAAGCACATGTGGGGCAGAGGTTTCTACGGTCAGGAATGCATCCGGCCTTCTGCAAGCGCGCACTTCCTCATCATCCCCATCAACACCATCGTCATCACCACCGCCCGCGTCATCATTGTCAAAACCATCATCACCATCATCTTCACCACCATCATCGCTGCGATCATCACCACAGTCGTCATCATCGTCATCGTGATCGTCGTTGTCGTCGCCCTCGTCATCATTACCACCACCATCACCACAACCATCATCAATATCGCCGTTGTCGTCGTCGTCGCCGATGTGTTCGTCAGCATCATTTCTCGCCCGCGCGAATCATTGACCTGCCTGGTAAAGGGTTCCCGCGTCATTGAAGAAGCCGCGGGCGGATGGGCTGGATGCTTGCTCGAGCAATGGAGCTGGCGACTCCAAATTCTCAACATAACGTAGCTTGGGCCAAATATCTTGCAGGACAATGACTACACTACATAGCATGCTCCACATCGCTTGCACATCACAATTTGTAGAACATATCGTGCGCGACATAGCGCACACCAAAACATGTAAGAACGCACTATCTGGGGCCCACGCTGTGAAACCTTCGTTTTGCTCGGCGGGGTAGTTATGGGTTCGTTTATGGTCCGTCGCCGCCGCCTGCAGGTCGGAGGCATTCGGCCTCTAGACCAGGGCGAGGCATGGCTTGAAATATTCTCCACTGCAGAGAGCCGAGCTGAATGGGTCCCGATCTCATCAACATCTTGCACATTGGGTGAGCCTCGCCTTGGCAGAAGCGCCGCACTCCTGGGTCCCTCACCGAAGGAAATGTCCCAGATGTCTCGCTCTCCCCGCGCATTCGTAGGCCTTCCTGCTGTGGACTCGCCTGGCCAACTGTCGCTGATACGCTCAGAAGTCGACTCTAGGGCGACGACCTCGGGAGCCGTGAGACGGGGGTCGCTGCAAACGGGGTTTCAGCCAGAGCGCCAAAACTTGCAGAATCCTGCAGAGCCAGGGGTGCACTGACCCGGGCTTGGAACCATATGAGGCCACCCTTCTCACACTGCATCATCCTGCACCCAAGCCCACCTGCGGCAACCACATGGAACCATATCAGGCCGCCCTTCTCACACTGCACGCGCAGCAGTGAAAACATTTCGGGATCGGTCGCACAGCCATCCTTTGCAATACACCCGCAGGTTGCCAGCTCCACTTGCCCTGCTCGGCCCCCTGTCTGCCGCCCCGCTCCTCGGCCACCTGCGAACCATGCTCTGACGGCGAAACCCTGCGGGTGACCACCGCTTTCCCGCCCAACTGACACTCGGATACTTCTAGGTCTGACACGGAAGAGCGAGGCTTGGAAGCGGACCTTACCAGTGATGCCCACATCTCGGTTCTCCTTGTCGTACCCGAAGCACTGGCGTAGAGCCTAGTGTGCTCGGCGATGGTTGACGCGATAGCAGGAATGGACAACTCAGACATCATACAAAAAACGCTGCGGTGAGAACAAAGACAGGGGCGTACACATTGAATGAGTCATTTGCTGGGCCTTCAACCAGAGAGCACGAGATACGCAGAGCCAGAACAACGCACGGGGCTCAGACGACAACGACAGGACCAGGAGGTAGACAGTTACGATCAACATGGAACACGCGCACGCCGAGGGCAATGCTGCCGGCGCGCGGCAACATGGAGGATCACGGGGAACCATAATATGACTGCTTCTTTCGCCGCAAATCCGTGCAAATAAAAAAAGCAAGAACCGCGCCGCGAGGCACTGAATGGAGCGCCCTGCGATCCCATCAAGTTCTTGGTATTGAATACCGGACGCGCTGCCAAAAGGCCCCAGGTGCCAGACTTCCACATTTCTCGCCCTCCTGGGCTCTCGGGATTCGCCGCGTGACTTGTCCCGAAGCCTTAGGAGTGTGGTTGGGAGTCCAAGCTGCCAGCATGCTCTAACGTGGCCCCGTGGGGCCATCCTGTAGCTGCCTGAGGGCCTCTTGGGCCGTCTTGGAAGCCTGACGGCTGGTCGAAGAAGCCGACACCATGTCACAAACGCGACTGCTGGGTCTTCGGACCGTCCAAAACAGCTGTGGATACCCGCCCAAGAGGACATCCGAGGCCATCGAAAGGGGCCGAAACGGCCTCTAAGAGACCCCCAAGAGGGGGAACTCGAACTGCTATGTGGAGCCCTCCATCCACAGGAGATCCCAAGGAAGCCTCCGGGAGGCCACAGAAGGCCTCCGAATGACTTACACAACCTCACCCAACTGACTTACAAAATGAGGCCCAAAGAGTCCTGAGAGGCATCCAAGAGGTCTCTGTTCCACGACACCGGCATGGTGGCGGGCTGGGTCGAAACACGTGCAATACTTAACATTGCTATAGCGGCGGCAGGAGAATACCTCTGAGAGCCCAAGTCTGGCGTCCCGAATGGGCCGCCGACGGAACAGGGCGGCAATTAATAATCACAAGGACGCTCGCCGCTTGGGCCCCACCGCCAGCCCAAGCGGCGAGCATAAATCGGGCGTAGCTCCGCACGCATTCGAATGCCCACACTTCGTCCTCGTACTATTCGTATTCCTCCCCGTCCTCCTCCCCATCCTCATCGTCGTCGTCGTCCTCCTCCTCGTCCTCCTCCTCATCCTCGTGTTCCTCCTGCTCCAGCTCCTCCTCGCCGTCATCGTCAAAGACCTCGTCCTCGTTTCTCCTCTTCCTCCTCCTGCTCATCCTCCTGCTCCTGGCACCTAGGTTGCGCCATAAGCTGCGCCATAGGTTGCGCCCATGGGGGCCGAGAATCAAACCGGCTCCTATCATCGGTTGCACCATAGGTTGCACACTCGGCAACCCAAAATAAAAACGTATCCTTTCGGTTGCGCGGTAGGTTGCGCCCTCGGCGGCCAAGAATAAAACAATCTCTGATCGGTTGCGCCATGGGTTGCGCCCTCGGCGGCCGAGAATCAAACCGTCTCCTATCCGTTGCGCCACAGGTTTGCCCTCGGCGGCCGAGAATAAAACAATCTCCTATCGGTTGCGCCATGGATTGCGCCTTCGGCGGCCGAGAATCAAACTGTTTCCTATCCGTTGCGCCACAGGTTGCGCCCTCGGCGGCCCGGAATGACACAGTCTCCGATCGGTTGCGCAAAAGGTTGCGAACTAGGCGGCGGAGAATAAAAGCGTCTTCTATCGCTTGCGCCATAAGTTGCGCCCTCGGCGGCCGAGAATCAAACCGTCTCTCATCGGTTGCGCCATGGGTTGCGCCCTCGGCGGCCGCGAATCAAGCCGTGGCCTATCGGTTGCGCACAGTTTCGCCCTCGGCGGCCGAGAATATAACCGTCGCCCATCGGTTGCGCCATAAGTTGCGCCCTCGGCGGCCGAGAATAAAAACGTGGCGTAACGGGTGCGACCAGTCAGTTCAGTTCGGCCCGTTTACGTTGCGAAAATCAAACGCGGACTACGCCCGAAATAACCATGCGATGCAATCGTGAAGCCACCCCGGCGTGATCAATAACACTGAATTGCTTCATTAATCCACGAGGGGAGGAGCCGCCGGACGACATCGTTTCGCATTCCGACGGCATAATGACTCTACCCAACGAGGGCCCCAAAAGTGTGCGTGTTCAGCTATCCATGTTGTGAAATGTCTGTGGAGCAAACCTACGTGGTGCAGTGTATGTGGCGCTGTGCGATATGTGTGTATATACATACATACACACGCGTGCGTGGTGCAATCAATGTGGTGCGATCAATGTGGTGCAATGTGTGTGGTGCGCAACCTATGTTGTGCAATCTGCGCGGTGCAATCAATGTGGGGCGATACATGTGGTGCAATACGTGTGGTGCGCAATCTGTTGTGCAATAGATGTGGAACACACCATATGTAATGCAACATACGTTGTGCAACCTACGTGGTGCAATCCGCCAATTCTAAACTTGAAATTGTCCGCTCCACTGCTCGCGCAAACATCCCACCCGCCCACCCGTCACTTGGCTTGCAAATCCCATGTGGCGGCCATTGCGATGAATGCTTGGTGCTGGCTGGTGCATCTTTGCGGCCGCGACAGCCCGCGCATGCGCGCGCGTAGCGGCTACCTAATTTTGTGCGACCGACGCAGCCGCGGCTGCGCTGACCGCTGGGCACATCCCAGCGGGCACTTCAGTGCGAGTCGGCGATTTGGGCGGGCGCGGTATCATGGCAACGTCGACAACGGTAGATGCGGTGATGATGCTAGCGATGCTGGTGGCGATGCTGACAGCGAAACGGCACGGCCAGTGACGGCGCAGATGCTGATCGCGCCGAAGACGATGACCGCGTCCTTGCGTCGGTGATGGGGGGGGGGGGGAAGAATTCGACATGCGCGCGCGGCCGACGCGCGAGTGGCCCGCATGGTATTCTTTGACGCGGATCGTGCCCCCCCCCCCCCCCCCCCCAAGCACGCGCGCAAAGGCGTTCGCATGATTTCGGCATGCGGCGCCAAAGGTCCGTTTGGCAGAATTCCATGGACATGTTGACAAACCTCCGGCTTTCTGAAGAATTCGCAAGAGCGCGAGCGCACTTCATCTTTTTTTTTTTCGAAAACTGACGCTGCGAACCAGATGATGTTGGAATGCTTTTTTTTTGTGCGGGGACAGTCGATTTTGAAATCCCTCCGAAAATGGCGCGACACGCGAAGGATTTCGGCTTGCGCGCGCGACGACGCGCGCGCGCACTCCGCCCCATGGTCTGCGAAGAACTCTCGCGACGGAACGCGCGCAAGGGCGTTCGAACGAGTTAACATGCGCGCGCGAAGCTCGTTGGGTATCACTTCCTGAACGCGACGAACAGCCAATGGTTTTCCTGAGAGTTCGCAGGAACGCGCGCGTAAAATGTGCTTGGCGTTCCGTCATGCGAAACCACGTGCTCCTTATATGTTTGTCTACTCGACCTTGAACACCTTACTAAACCGTAGGTTTTCGCATGAGTTCGGCACGCGCGCGCGATGACGCGTGCGCGCGCACTGCGTCTCACTCTGTTGCAGAGGATTTTGGGGAACTGCTGATTTTTCAAAACTGCGATTGCTGGTGGGGCTTGGATGGCACCAACTCATAATTAGGATGGGCGATGGGGCAGAACCATGTGCAACTTACAATGCTACAGAGAAAAAGTAAACCCCGGGGGGGGGGTCTTTTCCTATGCAACATCTATAACCAAAAAATGATAAATTGGCGCGCGCAACGAGTTGCCCGCTCTACTGCTCGCGCAGTCCCCTCGCCAACCCGCCCGCGAATTGGTTTGCAAAACCCTCGCGCGCGCAACGGCGAGCTAGTTCGGCGCGACCGACGCAGCCGCGGGGGCGCTGACCACTGGGCGCACTTCCCAGGGGGCGCCCCAAGGCGAGTCGGCGTCTTGAGCGGGCGCGGCACCGCGGCAACGTCGACAACGATATACGATATGCGCGACGATGGTGGTAGCGGCGACGAAGCAGGGAAAGTGACTGCGCCGATGTTGATCACGCTGGCGACGATGGCAGTTTCCCTGCGTCGGCACTGAAGGACTTGGAGGGAGTTCAACGCGCGCGCGCGGCAAACGCGCGAGTGGCCCGCGCAGTTTTTCTCGACGCGGATCGCGCCCCCCCTCGCCCCCAAGGCGCGCGCGCGAAATCTTTCGCGCGATTGCGACGCGCGGCGCGATGAGCCCGTTTGGCCGACCAGAGAAAAATTGAAGACCTCATGATTGGTTTGACTTGTTTCTATTATTTCCTTTCTAGACATTCGCAGGAGAGCGGGCGCGGGCATTTTCGAATACTGGCGCTGCCGAACCATGGGTTTTGCATGTCCTCGGGGCGCGCGGTTTTGACACCCTCGCGACGCCAAGGGGGCGTTCGAAGGATTTCGTCATTCGCCCTATTTCTTGCGCAAGGGATCCTCGCGGCAGCACGCGCGCGAGGGCGCTCGAGCGTCATCGACGCGCGCCTGGGAGGCCCGTTCGGCAGCAATGTCTGGAAGCGTTGAGAACCCCCCGGTTCCCCCAAGAGCTCGCAAGAGCCAGAGCGCAGGCTTTCCTCTGACTTTCTTGCAGCGAAACCATGCGTTTATACATGTTTTTCGGGGAGCTCGATGTTGAAATGACGCCCGGGTCTCTGAGAAGTCTCCGCATGCGCGCGCGACCGCGCGCGCGCGCTTCGCCTCGTTTCTCGCCGGGGATTCTCGCGACAGCGCGCGCGCGAGGGCGCTCGGGCGACCCCGGCACGCGCGCGCGAGAGGCCCGTTTGGTTGCGCGCGGTGCAACTGCAGAAGAACTGATGCTTCTATTCTGGAGAGCCTGAGAAACCATTTGTTTTCACGCGGCACTTCTGCTGGGGATGAGGGGGCGGAAGCGGGCTTGGCCGGGGTGCTATGAATTCAGATTTAGGATGGGCGAAGGGGCAGAACCAATGGCACATCGCACTGCGACTAGGGGGTCCGTCGAGTGCTGGCGGGGCGGGGTGTGCGAGCGTAGACCGCGCTGCTGTTCTGATGCAGAGGATCCTCGCGGCGCGCTTGATCTGCGCGCGCGAGTTGACCAATTCCATGCCCCTGCAAACATCCCGCCCGCACACCCGCAATTTGGCTGGCAAAACCCATGCGGCGGCGATCGCGATGAGTGCTCGGCGCTGACTCGTGCGTCCATGCGGTCGTGCTAGCCAGCGCATTCTCGCGCGCGCAGCGGCGCGCTTTCCTGGCGCGACCGACGCCGCCGAGGTGGCGCTGACCGCTGGGCGCGCACTTCAGCGCGAGTCGGTGGCTTGGGCGGGCGCGGCGTCATGGCGACGCCGACGACGATAGACGCGAGTATGAAAAAAAGCGATGGCGGCGACGATGGCGGCGATGACGACTGCAGGGCCCATGACAGCGCCGATGTTGATCACGCCCGCCGTCGACGACGACGACGCCCTCGCGGCGGCGATGCAAGTTTTTGAAGCAGTTCCACATGAGCGGCCGAGGCGCGCGACTGGCCCGCGTGACATTATTTGACGCGGAGCGTGCCCCGCCCCCAGCACGCGCACAAGGGCGTTCGAGTGAGTTCGACGTGCGGCGCGAGAGGCCCTCTTGGCAGAATTTTACACATGTTGACCTGTGGTTTTCTAGAGAATCCGCAAGACCACGCGCGCGCGTTTTTTCGGACACTGATGTTGCAAAGCCATGTGTTTCTATATGTCCTCGGGACACTCGATTCTGAAATCCCTCCGACACCTGGCAAGTTCTTGCTCGCATCATTCGGCTTGCGCGCGCGACGACGCGCGCACATCGCCCCTTCTGTTGCGAGGGGTCCCTGCGACAGCACGCGCGCAAGGGCGTTCGAGCGATTTTGACACGCGCGCGCAAGAGTCCACTTGGGTTGCACGTGACAAAAAGTTCTACGCTTTCACAAAGAATTCACCAGAGCACGGGCGCAGGCTTCTTTGAAAGTCCTTGTTGCGACACCAGGTGTCTTTTTTATACAAGTGTTCCGAGGGTTTGGCGTGCGCGCGCGAAGATGAGCGCGCGCGTGCACTTCGCCCTCTCCTTCGTTTTTGATTAACGAATGCGCACGCGTGAAAATTAATTGTTGCGAAGGACGAGGGGGGGCGAACTCCGGCCCGGCAAGGGCGGTGTGAATTTACTGGGGTAGCGAACAGGGAGGCAGAAACATATGTAACTTGCAATGCGCGAGGCTGGCTTGATGAGTGGGGGGGGCCGATGGAGGTAGGATCAGGTTTTTGCCACAAAAGGAAAGGATCATTCATATCTGTGCGCAGTGAATTGTCCACTCCACTGCTCGCGCAATCAACCCGCCCACCCGCCCGCGAGTTGGTTTGCAAAACCCGTGCGGCGGCGATTGCGATGAGTGTTTGGAATTGGATTGTGCGTCTCTGCGGCCGCGCTAGCCCGCGCGTGTTCGCGCGCGCAGCGGCGCGTTGGTTTGGCGCGACCGACGCGGCCGCGGTGGCGCTGGCCGCCAGGCACTTCCCAGCGGGCAATTCAGTGCGAGTCGGCGACTTGAGCTGGCGCGGTATCATGGCGACAACGGTAGACGCGATGATGATGGTAGCGATGATGGTGACGATGATGACAACGACTTCGGCAAGGCCAGTGCCGGCGCCGATGCCAGTCGCGCCAGCGACGATGACGAAATTGAGGTTTTGGAGGGTGTTCGTCACGCGCGCGCGGCCGACGCGCAAGAGTGGCCCGCGTGGTACTATTTGACACGGATCGCGCCCCCACCCCCAGCTCGCGCGCAAGAGCGCTCGAATGATTTCGACGCACGGAGCGAGGGGGCCCAAGTGCCCGAACGCAACCATTGTTTGAAACTTCGTGTTGCGAAACCCTGTGTTTTTAGAACCGTACGATTTGAAGGTTTTTGGCGAATTTTCGCATTCGCTCGCCACGACGCGCGCGAGAGCACTTCGTTTCGATTTTGTTGCGAGGGATTTCTACAATAGCACGCGCGCAAGGGCGTTCGAGCGATTCCGACATGCGCGCGCGAGAGGCCCGCTTGGCAGCAAGTCGAGAGAATGTTGCAAAACAAATTGCTTTTCCAGAGTTCGCAAGAGCCCGAGCGCAAACTTTATTGAAATTCTTGTTGCGAAACCTTGGGCCGTCAATTCTGGAAGGAGGGGTAGATCCTAATACTCTTGTAGAACAGAAAATCAGTATGGCGGCGACGAGGCGGCGACAGGGGTGGCGACGGCGACAACATAGCCGCCAAAACGACCCCCAGGCGCAGACGACCGGCGGCGACGAGGCGGCGACGGGGCGGCGACGGCGACGACATGGCCGCCAGACCGACCACCCGGCCGGGACGACGGGCGGCGACGAGGCGGCGACGGGGACAACATAGCCGACAGACCGACCCCCAGGCCCAGACGACCGATGGCAACGAGGCGGCGACGGGTTGGCGACGGCGACAACATAGCCGCCAGACCGACCTACAGACCCAATTCCTTAGAACACAAATGAGAACCCCTAAGTGCAAGCACTGCTTGGAGAATTTACATGATTCCTGGGGAATGGGGGTGGCAAGAAAAGGAAGTAAGGATCAATCTTCTGTGTGCTCCCGTTGAAAAGACATCGGGCTTGGGCTCTCATAGACACCACGCGAAGGGCAAAGTTGACCGATAGAACCGTCGAGACCATCAAGCCTGGTCGACGACAACGGCGACGACGACTGACGACGACGACGCTCTGCGGATGCCCCATTCCAAGGGGTGGGCTGCCGCGTATGCCAGCCGCAATCGACGAACACGACGAAGACGACGACGACGACGACGACGACGACGACGGCTACGGGAAACGGAAAACGGACGACGGACGACTGACGACGACGAAGACGAGGTCGACGACGACGACGACCGACGACCGACGTCGACACGACGACGACGAAAACGACGACGACGACGAGACGACAGACGCGCTGCCTGCGGATGCCCCCAGGGAGGGGGGGGGGCTGCGAGGCCCGCAGAGGCGGACGACGACGACGACGACGGCACGACGACGATGAGGACGGAATGGCAATTCGATTGAGATCTTGTCTGACTCCTGGTTGGATCCTGTTCTCATGCTAGCGGGATTCTTTTGGGGTCCCATTGGGGCCCAGGGTTCCGAATGGAGTCCAAGCTGAATCCTGAGAGGATCCTATTGGAGCTCCATTTCCCCATTGGGAACACTCCTGGGCTCGATCCAAGTGTAATCCGATTGGTACCGCGGAAGCGTACTGCAGCCCACGGATCCGATTGGGGTCCTATTGAAAGTTGGGCCCTTTTGGATTCCTATACGGGCAGGGAAAGAGAGAGAAAGAGAGAGAGAGAGAGAGAGGGAGAGAACGAGAGAGAAAGAAAGGGAGGACAGGGATGGTCTGCGGGCAGATAGAGCGGGCATATAGACGCCATGCGATACCCCTTCCCAAAACACTGGTCGTGTCTGCTATTCTGAGGCGTAGCCTACGCTAAGGAACAGCCCCGCCACCGAACGCGTCATTTTAGCACCGAAGCTCAGGAAACATAATTCCCGCATGGAGGAGGGAACAGGAAAGATGATCAATAATCCGTTTGGCATGCTGATGGAATCCGGTTGGAAGCCTGTTGGAATCCGATTGGAATCCGACTGGTATCATATAAGAATCTGACTGGGGTATACTTGGGAACCTATTCGGGTCAAACTGGATCCGATTGGAATCCGATTGGAGCCCTATTGGAATCGGAACAGGTTTTCAGTGGAACTTTCCTGGTATTATATTTGAACCCTGTTGGGCTCCATATGAAACTCCTGCTAGAATCGGATGGGCTCTCATTGAAATCCCACTGGGACCCTTCGGAATCCTAATGGGATCCTTTTTGAATCCTTTTGGAATCCGATTGGGCCTGACTGGGCTCATGCTGCGATCCTCTTGGGCTCTCATCGGGATCTGAGTGGGGAATTCTTGAAATCCTAGTCGGATCTTGGTGGTATCCCGCACCCAGAGTCCAGGGGCGGCAGGGGGCGAGGTGGTCGATAATTTGTTCTAAGGGTTAGCCAAGCGAGTTGCAGCACCGCGGATGTAAACGACAACAAGTCCCACGTGGCCTGCTCGAAAGCGAGGGCGCCACCACATCACAGACACGAAACTGCAACCCACATGATTTGCATAAGCAAGACAAGCCAAGGACAACCATGGCCAGCGACAGTCACTCCCCCCCTGGAAAGCGCAAGACACATGAGACAACGCCCTTTAGGGACCCCCCAAAAAGATGTACGCGCCCAACTGCAAACATTCATAACTACGGTGCCCCAGTCCGATAGGCCAGCCTCGTGTTACAAACGTTCGCGCAAAACGGACTTTCGAAACCAACGAGAATTCATGTACTACGCGTACGTCCTTCTTTCGCTCCTGTCCCTTCTTTCGCTGCCACTCCGCGTCGACATCTTCACGCCTAGGCCTGGGACAGCCCGGGCTCTCACACGGGCACTCCACGACCCGCAGAACGGCGTGGGCCCGCAACACCATGCGACGATGCCCGGGCCCCGTGTCTGGCAAGGAGGCGCTCCGCGGCCTCGCGGCACTCCTGGAGGACAATCTCTGCGTTCTCCTTGGGCCAGCGGGGCCAAGCAACGGCGGGGGGCCCTGGTGCTCACCCGTGACAGAAGACCTCTGCCCCTGGAAGGAGGACGGAGGGCAATGGCGCCAGGGAGAAGCGGCAGCCCGGCGGTGTGCACATCTGAGTCGGTCGGGGGTCGCGGCGGCGGCCCTGGCGACGCACCATGCCCCGCAAGCGGGTAGCGTGTCTAGCCGAAGTTTTTTTGTTGACTTGTACGAAGGTTCGAGTCCATGCGCTAACTCCGTGAAGGCCCGAGCGAACGAGGGCCAAAGGGGCCGATCCGAAACGAAGGGCGGACCCAGAGACCCAGAGCGAAACGAGCGACAGGACACGACTGAACAAACAGGACTGTCTTGCCGAAACGCGGTGGGTCAGCACCGGGGGAGCGACGCGCTAGCCAAATATTACTGGCCGTAGTTCTCCTCAACATGTTGAGCAGGGACCGACCGTCCCGGCATTCCTATAGTCCTACCACGACATGTTCTTTGAGCCCACAAATGTTTTAATAACATACACAATGCTCTGAGAACATAAGCTCGATGTGTTAAACCAAGACAATCTCAACCAGACATGTTCTAAGAACATTTCGTGGAAACCGCAAAAGGTTCTTAGAGCATTGTCTGGTAGGGCTATAGGCGAGCCAGGACGCTTCGCCACTGCCTCCGCCTCCGCCGCACTGCCCGCTCCTGTGGGGCGGCGGCGGGCCCTCGCAGCGCTCCTTTGATCCGTGCCCTGCGCTTCTGCTCGCCGCAGTCCCCGCGGGCGCCGGGCGCGTCGTGCTCACCGCGGTGCTCGATTCGGCGGGCCCGCCCTGCCTTTCGGCATGCTCTTGGCGTCGACGGGCGGCGTCGCCCTCGGCGCGGGGCTCGACCTGTTGCAAGCTGCTGCGCGTCCTCCGCCTGGCCCTGCTGCAGGGGCCGCCGCGGCTGCCACCGCCGCCGCTGCTGCGGCCGCCGAGGGTATCGCGGCAGTGGCCGTCGACCTGCTCCCCGTCGTCGTCGTCGTCGCCGGTCGGCGTCGTCGTCGTCGTCGTCGCCGCCGCCGTCGTCGTCGTTGTCTGCGCCTCCTGCATGCACACCTGGCTGGCATTTCGAGCGGCGACGCACACTTCGAGCGCTGCAGGCTCCGCCTTGCCCTGCGAAACCCCTCCGGCTTGCCGCGCACGCGGCGCCCCGAACGCGTGCCGTTCTGGCCCATGACCTGCTCGGTGATGTGCCGGGTGGGATGCGGAGTCTTCCAGGAGGCTCCATGTGGCACTCGGGGCCCACATCGGCCCGCTCCTGCGTCGAGGCATGCCCATCGCACCTTCTCGCCCACTGCTTCAAAGGTCGCTCCGTGCCGGCGCCCGATTCCCATTCGGCGCCTCACCTGGCCGAGGGGTCCACCTGCGCGCTGCCGTCCGCCACAATCTTCGCCCACGCCTGACAGGGAGCTGCTGACCTCACTGGAGCGACGTGGAATGAGGTGCTGCACGCTCGTTTTCATCCATGCCCCCGGTGTGTCGAGAGGAACCACATGCGCTCCCAGGTGCCTACGAGCGGCCTCTGGGCTGAATGCACCTTGGACGTCCTCTCTCGATGCCCGCCACCATGGCCTCGCGGCTCGTGAAGATCGCGCTTGGAGTCGTGGCGTCGCGCCCAAACAAGCCAGCAATGCGCTACCATATCGGCAAATCCGCCCGCGGCGGGCCCCCTGCGGGCCATTGATCGCTTGGGGTAATTTGCCAGTTGGCTAGGGGGGGGGAGAGGGGCGAGCCGATTGGGCATGCACCATTCCCATTGGGTCTGCCCAATCGCGCTCGGGAGGGGGCGGGGCGGCGGACTCGCGAGCCGCACCAGACCATTCGGAAAGGAGGCTTGGAGGCCCCTTTCGCCTCCAATCTGCATCCAAGACGGCCCAACATTCTCCCAGGTGGCCTCCAAGATGACACTACATGGCCCAAGAGGCTCAACACATCTGCCATGATGCTCCCAAGATGTCAAACTACCGCCACAAGAAGGCTCCAAGTGACCACGGAGCCTCTCAAAGAGACGCTCGAGAGGCCAAACTCTTCGAACACAGCTTGAAGCATGTGCTTCGGCCTTATCGCTGTTTCTACTGCACGACGAAGAATCGAAAGGGGACCAACACGGCCTCAAGCTCGCGCCAGAGCTCCTCGAAAGCGGACCCAAATCGGTCACAAGCCATCCGACGGCACCTCTACAACAGCCCCAGAGCGCCCGAAGACAGCCCAGAGAGGCTTCAAGGACAGCCTCCGAAGACGTCAGAAGGGCCAAGAGCGCCGTTAAGCAGCCGCCCCAGAAGCCCCCAGGACAACCTAAGAGTCCCAAAGAGGCCCCCGATGATCCCTAAGAGGCCACCACGATGTCCACAAGAGGCCCTAAAAAGGACCCAAAGAGGTACCATTACACGCCAACGTGCAAAATCATGGCTCGTCGTTGCCTTCCTCCCCCTCCTCCTCCTCCTCGTCCTCCTCCTCCTCGTCCTCCTCCTCCTCCATGGATGTGAGATGCACTGGCTAGTACCCCGAAAGGGATCCCGCCGCTGCGCCCGCACTGTGGGCAATGATCATAATTTCTGGAGCCTCTTGAGAATTCTGGTGCCAATGACTAAGCCAGCGAAAAGATCAACTTGTCATGATCAACGCACATATTGCTAGACATATCAGTACCACGCCTCCAACTGAATTACATGTTTCAGTGGCGTTCGAGGGACCACCCCGGTCAACACTGCTTGGGACCATCCAACACTGCAAACAGTGGTAGGACAGGCTGCCTGGGACTGCCGAGCATTGCCAGGCTGGCTATCCCTCTCGGTTGCGCGGAGGCCTCAGACCGCTGTACGTTGTGGAACATGCGCTGGCCTCTGCACCAAGACCAAGGCCCACGCAAACACTGTCAAATCAACGAGAAAACCATCAACTAACCCGACCGTGCGCAACACAATTAGTTAATGAAACACACTCCGCCGTTAAACTAAAAAGACGGACCGCTGATTCCTAAGGGAGGAACGTCTGGCAAATCCATCTTCATTGGAGCTTGCCCACACGCGCTTGGCTCGCGAAGGTCGGCTGGCTGAGATCGCAAGGGGCACTTCTGAGGCGCCAGCATAGGAACTTTCGGTGCAGTCTTATACAGCCTCCTACACACAAGCGTACGAGTGGGATATATGCAATACCTGTCTTCAATTTATGTTGCTCCCATCGTACTTGGGACCACATCCCAGAAATACTTTCGAGCACACCGAGAAGTATCGAACAAGAGTATCGCCTCCCACGGCCCGACACGTGCAAACCCTCCAGATCAGGTGCGTTCTCGCTTTTCGAAATTCTTTCTTCGGCTACACGCAAGAGTGACCCTGGGTAAAAGTGACCTTTGGTGCGCGGCCTTTCTGCGGCCGCAGGGGGGGACAGTAGCTTGGGACATCCTAATCTTCGATCCCTCCATGGATACGGCCGTGACCTTGTGCTCGGCGTGTCGCTGCGGCGGTCCCGGCGACACGCTGCGCCGTGCGAGCGGATCACTCCCCGTCGCTCGGACGTCCATTCCCTGTGCTTTTGTCGGTTTCGTGCGCGGTTTTTTTTCGCAGGAGGATCCAGGATGACCCTTTGAGAATCCCCGCCGAGGGAAAGTGCACACGTCCGAGCGAGGCCCAGATCGTGCGTGCCGCTGCGCTGCGCGAGGCGGGAGGCGGCGGCGGGGCGCGGCGCGGGGACGCCCCGGGGACTGGGAAGTGGGCGGCGCGCCGCTCCGAGGCGTGGCGGGCCAGGACTGGCGTGAGGGTCGGGGCACCTAGGAGGAACCCTGAAGAAGGAGCGGGGCCCCTCTCTCCATGAGTGAAACTTCGATGTCCCACCGGAAACTTGAGGACATCCATGGGTAAGCTGTGAGACGATTGAGGAGCACGGAGCCCCTCCCCAACGAAAAGGGTTCCTTCTTCAGCGCCCCGACTGTAGGGTCGGGCGTGTCCTCCTACAGGGGGATGTTGGATGAACCAAAAAAAGGCAAAACAAACATTTTCCAAATGGTCAAACACATATTCCAAAGTCCTCCCCAGACTATTGTTGGACTATTGTTGCACATCCCTCCTGTAGAAAGACGTGCCCGACTTCGGACTGGCGGAGCGGCACGCGATCCAAAAGTTACCGACCGCATCCTCCCGACATGTCTGTCGGGCTGCGGCTGCAGCACGAGGGGAGTTCACGGCGCTGTCACAAAAGCAAGAAAAAGGAAGCGCGCGGAGCGCGGGCCGTGAGATGGAGGCTGCGGCGAGCAAGCAGGGCTGGCCCCCCCGGCAAGAGCAGCGACTTAAGACGAAACCAGGACAAGGACAAACTTGGACAAGGATAAATCGGAAATCTCTGAGAGCTGGCGGTTCTGAATGATGCATCGGGCGCCGCGGCCTTCTCAGAGCGCTCTGGAACGCTCTGAGAGCGTTCCGGGGCGCTGTGGGACGGACTCATCCTTGTCCTAGCCCCACCCGACCAATCCCCTGGACGTGCGCTTGCTGCCGTCCCCTTCCTCCTGCCTTCCTGCCCATGGGGGGCAAAGAGAATTAGGTCGGGCATGTCCCTCTACAGGCGGATTTTGGGCGAAAAAATTAAAGGTACCCCAGAAGTGCTTCGAAAAAGCCAAAACAAATGCTAGAATAATAGTCCCCAGGCGATTTTTTTGACTATTTTGGAATATCCCCCCCTGTAGAGGGACAAGCCCGACGCAATCCTGGCCCCACCCGGCCAATCCCCTGGACGTACGCTTGCGGCCGTCCCCTTCCTCCCGCCCTCCGGTGTGTGAGGGGCAGCGAGGCGGGGGCGGCAGGCTCTCCGAGGGGGGAAACGTCGGTCAGCAAATCGGCGGCACGTCGCCCGTAGATCGTCGGTCGGCCCCCCACCGCAAATCCGCACGTTCCTGGGCGGGGTGGTGCTATCATTCGGTCGGGCGTGCCCCCCTAGAGGCGGATTTGGGACGAAAAAGAAAACACGACTGCAAGACATATGCTGCTGACATGTCCAAACCTACTCCAAAACTCGTCCCCTGACTATTGTTCGACTATTCTAGAATGTTCCTCCTGTAGAGGAACAGGCCCGACCGAATGCTATCAGACCCCTATCGGCGATCAGTGGGCGATTGAAGGTCAAAGCATTCCCCCTGAGCCTATCCCCCCATCGTTGCCCCTGACCTCCTCCCCAGCATCCTCTGGACGTGCGCAGGCGGAGCATGAGGTGGCAAGGCCGGCTCCTCATTGAGCACGTATGTCTGCTGGACACCCGACTGGCCGAATCTGGCGCGGGGCCGCGGGGGGACCCCCCCCCCGACCACGCCCTCCGGACCACCACGCGTGCACACTCCCAGCGAAGGTGTCTGACAGGGCTCTCACCTGTTTTCGAACAGCCGGCGGGTGCAAAGCCTGCGCCGGCAGGCCTGCTCGGGGTTCCTTGGATCTGTTTCCTGTCAGTGCCGTTCCTCGGGCTTCCTTGGCTTGCTTCCTCACAGCGGCCTTCCTCGGGATTCCTTCGTCTGTTTCCTTACGGTGACTTTCCTCGAAATCCTTGGACTTGTTTCTGTACTGTGGCATTCCTCGTTCCTCTATCCTGCTGCCTTGCAATGGTTTTCCTCGAGGTTGCTCGGTTTCGTTTCCAAACAAATCCGCCGACCCTGTCGGCGTGTGTGGAGCTCCAAGAAGGCTCCGCATCGCCGAACGATCTGTCCACGGCGCCTTCGCGGCCACCTGACGGCCCATGGGGTCTGCAATGTGCCACGCCCCCACAGGCCTCCAGGAACACTCCCACGAAGGCCCCCAGAGGCATACTTCATCAATTTCCCATTGGTGTTTTCAAGCTTTTGGCGCCCTCGCCACTTCCGCTTCCCGACGCTCTGCGACGGCCCTAGAAGCCCCCAACAATCGCCCCAAGACGGCCCAGGAGGGTTCCAGGACGGCCCGAGACGCCTCCGAGACAAACCAAGAGGCACCCACGACGGATCCCTGAGGGTGCCCAAACGGACCTCTCGAGCCCTCGCCCCCCAAAAGCTTTCAGGAGGCCAGAAGAAGCTTCCAAGACGCCCCCAAGAAACCCCCAGGAAGCCCCTGGAGGCCCTCGGAGAAAAAAGGCTCCCTAGAGGCCCCCCGAGTCTGCCAAAATGTATAAATATATATATATAGAGAGAGAGAGAGAGAAAGAGAGAGAGAGAGAGAGAGAAAGAAATAAATAAAGAAAGAGAGAGAGAGAGAGAGAGAGAGAGAAAGAGATAGAGAGAGAGAGAGCGAGAGAGAGAGAGAGAGAAAAAACAAAAAAAAAAAAGAGCCAAAAGTCCAGGGGCGCGTAGGCAAGCACTGCGGGGGCGCACTCACGCGTAGTCTCCAAGCACGTTCGTTTGGAACTAGTGCTTCCCAAATGTGAAGGTCACCAGGTAGCTGCTGCACGTGCCGCAACAGAAAAATCGCCCACTTTGTGCGCGGTCGTCCGGGCTTCCAGATGAAATTGTCCGTGATGAATTTGAAAATACAGGAACAAACGTGGAATCGCGCAGCGGCTCGTCAGGCTCACCGCGAGCTGCTTTTCCGCATGGTATTGGATGGTGCCTCAGCAAGGTGTTTACGAACGGTTGGTGTTGGGTCCGGCTGCGGATGCTCGCACTGGAAGCACGCGGGACCATGGGATGCTTGACTCCGCGGACGAGTCGGCGCCTTTCTGCCGCAATCAAGCATACTGTACTGAGACTGTATGAGAGTGTCGGTGTGATGCTAGCATTGAAAAGATCGAACTTCCGTTGCTCGCTGATACTCGCGTGCGAGCGCGCCTTCTCGAGCCGATGAAACTCTGCAAGCCCCATGCCAAGTCGTTGGTCGAATTCGCCTCCCGCCCTGCCGTCACCACAGACGGTGGTTCCGAAGTGCGCTCAGGTATCCGCGGCCTCAATGTCCTCACCTGATTCTGGGCGACGAAGAGCCACTCTTGTATATCTTGTGCTCTCCGAGCAATGAGGGCAGCGTCGTCTGCGCAAGTTAACTGGCCGACGCTCGCCGACAACTGCTGTGCGAGCCCGTCCTCCGCGTCGCTCATGATGACTGTCGTGACACCTAGAAACAAGTGGCGGCAGCGGGCAGTCTTGTGGCACGCCTGATCGCTGCGCCGGCTCGCCCGACATGCGCTCCGAATCCCCCGCCTGGAACTCGCGCCCGTTGCGCAATTCCCGCCGCTTGCTCGGCTTGCCTCCCAATCGCGCCTGCGCCCTCTCATCGACGAGGTCAAGCGTGCGCCAGCTGAACCACGGCCGCCGGCTGCCGGCTAACGCGCGGCATCTCTGGGACCGCGCCCCCGGACCCCCTGAAAGCTTCGACGATGCTGGCCCATTCGGCATCAATTGACCTTGCCTCTTGGCCTCTGGGCGCCCTGTCTGCGCATGTTCGAGCAAACTGTCTCGCGGCGGCTGGTAATTTCAGCGCGCGTCTGTCCTTCCTGTTCAGAGCGCGCTTCGGCGGCGCCCCGATGCGACGCAGCATCGAGCACGACGCCAAAATACTATGAAACGATTGAAAACTAGCTTCTCGGTGATTCCGAACGCCCTGGTCTCTCTCCGGAGAATCCGATCCGACCGGCACCTGATCTAGCATGGCGAGGGCGTGCTCCGCGACCACGCTCGCGTGGCCCACGCCATTCCCCACGAGCGCGGCCTTCTTCTCTGGCACCCCCGCCTCGTAAACAACTGCTACTCCCACTTTGCGTTCGACGCAGAATTGCGTCAACAAGTCCCGACTCGGAGGTCCAGCTTTTCCGCGCGCTTCCCGGCCCCGGCAGATGTCTCCAAGAAAGCCCCCCCCTTCCCCCGGCCTCCGTTGCCCGAGTCGAGCGTCCATGTCCCCATGCAGACTCTTCTGGCCATCCACCGAACACTTCTTATACAACTTGCCCGATTTCTTGTAAAAGAGAAACTTGTCCTCTGGCGCCTTGTCGTCGTGCGGGGCGCAGGCCTTGACGATGCCGACCGCGCGGCTTCCACTATTCATTGTTATGCCCGCCGTGTTTCCCGCATGTTGTCTGAGCCCCTGGACTCCATGCCGGGCCCAAGACGATGCCGCGACACTGGCGACGACTCGCTCTCCCCGGCAGCCAGATAGAACTATCAAGAACCAGCATTGTTGTAGCTATCCGAATCCTCCTCCCATGCCTCCTGTAGGCACAAAACATCTAGCTTGACAGACTTCGTGCGTGCCTGAATCCAAGCTAACTGTTCCTCGGCGAGGCCCTGGACATTCCAAGCACCTGCTCGCGCAGGTCTTCCTTGAGCGTCCCAAAACTGCCTCTTCCAACTGCCTCCTCCATCGTCCCATTCCACCATCTCCGTGGCGATGCCGGGGTGAAGTTAAAATTGTGCCGACGTGCCCACGACCCCGTCAATGACGGGGCTTGCCTTTTCCAAAGCCTTTCGCGCCGCCCTCCCCGAACCCCGAAGCTCTCGAGGCGCTCGCTGGCCTCTGAGATCAAGTTCGCCTGCTCGCCTGAAGTGGCGAAATCGGCCCAGTCTTTCCAATCGTCGGCAAGCCACCTCATCGTCAAGACGTTGTCCCCCACGACGGCCTGCAAGACCTCCGTGTCCCCGACCTTCAGGACCAGCTGCTCCTCGTCCACCTTGATGGCTTACTTGTTGAAGGCCCAGCTGACCAACATCTTCTTCACGCTCACAAAGAAATCCCAACCTGCAGGAAATGACCCAGCGCACACCATACCCAACGTGCTATGACGTTTCAACGATGCCTCCGCATGATTGCCAAGGCTGCTTCCAAAGCCGCCCCATCACATAATCGTGCAACGAAGGAGTCGCTGACATTCCATTATGTAAAATAAAAATCTGAAGGGGTATTCAAGCCCATCTTGGTCAAGTGGTCTGTGATACTTCCTTCGCCTCGTCGAAGCTGTGGGCGTCGGCGAAGCCTCCAACACACTGCAATGTTCTTGATGGCGTTATCCTTCTTAATATTGTTGAGGCTCGCCTCCATGTGCGCGAGACTTGCCTTCAACTCCACGTCGATACCCTCCATGGCCTTCCTGCCCTCCTCGGCCTTCAACCCCTCCATGTCCTTCTGGGCTGCCGCCACCATGGTTTCCAAGGGTGTCGTGCGCTGTGAGGGTCACCGCTCTTGCTCTTGAGCTCTTCGATATTCTTGTCTTGCTTGTTGAACTTCCCCTGCATGTGGGAGCCGAAAACGGTCAGCGCGCTGCCTACTGCGTCGCGCATCCACTCCGCATGCGGCCGTGTAACGGGCGACTGCTCTGTCTCCTTCGCATCTGGACTTGAACCCATCTGCGATTTCCTAACTGGCCTCCCAATCGACTTCAACGCGAAAAACTGCTTCATATGTTCCGCGAAACCTGCATCGGTGAGAGAGTTGCAGCATCAGGATGTGCGAGTAATGGCAACTTGGGTTGCTTGAGCAAAGATGCTTGGAGCCAAGAGTCTGGCAAAACAACACCAAACTGCCCGCCAGAGCCCCCGAAAGCGCTCCGAAGAGACCCCGACAAGCATCCCCTCCGCCCCCTGCTCCTCACCCTCCTCCTGGTTCTCCGTCATCGCCTTCGTCCTCCACCTGCTCCTTCCCCTTATCGGCCTCCTTCTGCCCCAACTCCCCCTCCTCATCCTCCGCATGCTCTTCCTCATCCTCCCCCTCCTGCTCCACGGTGTCCTCCTCCTCCTGCTCCTCCTCCTCATCCTCCTGCTCTTCCTCCTCCTCCTCCTCCTCCTCCTCACTCTTTCCCTTCGCCTCATACCCCTCCATCACATCCTCCTCCTCATCATCCTCATCTTCCTGATCATCCTCCTCATCATGCTCCCCCCCTCCACCGCGTGCTCTTCCCCCGGTGCTCCGCAACCTTACCTCGACCTCGTCTTTCCCATCCTCCTCCTTTTTCTGCCCCTCCTTCTCCCCCTCCTCCGCGTCATCCATTTTCTCCTGATCCTCCGATTCCCATTCTACTAGTCCTCCTACTGCTCCCTCCCCCCCACTCCTCCCCCTGCCCCTGCTCCCCCTCCTTATCCTCCTCCGCATCCTCCTCCTCCCCCTCCTGCTGCTCCACCGCGTCCTCCGTCTCCTCCTCCGGCTCCTCCTCCCCCTCTTCGTGCTCGTCGTCCTCGTCGTCGTCTTCGGGTTCGGCGGCACAAGTCGCAAGGCCTTCACAATCCAAGCAACGCCAAGCAACGCCCATCAATGCCAAGCAACGCCACGCAACGCCAAGCAAAGGCCAGCAAAGCCAAGCAACGCCAGACAACGCCAAGCAACGCCCAGCAATACCAAGCTACGCCAAACAACGCAAAGCAACGCCAAGAGACCTCCGCTGCGCCCCTGGCCCGAGCCATTCAAGGCCCAAGCCATTTTGGTTTGGCCGTTGGGCCGAGCTTGGCCCTGAGGATGGAGTTCCCCGCGCCCGGTTCGGCGATGCTGGAGACCGACCTCGGCTTGGCGCCAGCTCTGCTAGAGCAGATGCGGGTGGAGGGCTTGGTTGGCTACGCGGCTGTCCTCGCCGAGCTCGGCGTCGCGAAGAACGTGGACCTCTTGGGAGGAGGAAAACTGTGCAGATCCAGCTCTCTTGGCCCTCCTCCTCCTCCTCCCCGCTCATCCTCGAGAAAATCGAGGAAGGAGGGGGGAGGAGGATGGATGGCCAAGAGAGCTGGATCTGCACAGTTCTCCTCCTCCCACATCTGCTACCTCACCGAGCTTGACCTCATCAGATCCACGCGATGCGCCCATACAAAAATAGGCTTTCTCCTAATCGGGGTCGCGCCGTGTACATGTTTTTCTGTGAGGCGTGGGCGTCAGTCCGAAGCGAAGCGGGCAGCCACCGAGGACATAAATCTTTCTCGCTGTACCTCGAAATGCCGTCCTGCTCGATCTCGACTGCTTTCTACTCATCCTTCTCACTGATCTTGGACGTCTCATTCTCGGCCGCGCCACTGTCTTCGCTCACTGCGGCGTCCCTGTCAGCCTCCTCCCTGCTGTCGGCCGTGGCGTTCTCGACTTCAGCCTGCTCGTTCGTGGTGGCATTCTCGCCAGTCGCACCCGTACCGTTCACGTCATCCGCAAAATCATCGTCGGCCAACTTCGCGTTCTCTAACCGGCTATTTGACCATACGAGCTTCTCGCGTTCCCATGCGAAGGTCTCCATGTTCCAAGCAATGTGCTCAGTGTCTTTCGGGGGGTTGTGCCCATTCGCTTCGCCCCTGATGTCGAAGTGCTTCCTCACAAACGCTGTGCCGTTGTGAAAGGCCCAGAATTTTGCATCCCTAGGGCATTGAGCTTCCATGGCGGCAAACCCCATGACAAAATTAGTGCGGTAGTCAGTCCCAATTGACCAGGCCAGACTCTCCTGCATGAAGTACAGGTATACTGGTTGGGTCCTGATATCGCTGTCCAGGTTGAGGTAGATGGGCCTGTAGCCGTTGAACTTCGTGGCCTTGAGAGTGGTCTTGACGTAAGGGCCCCCGAGCGCGGTGAGACTGGGGTTGGGAGCCGAGAGCCTCAATGTTGACGGGCACTCATGGCAGGTCTCGAAGCCCACATTCCTGGTGGCCATCTTTTTCTTGTCCCGCTTCGTCATCATGTGCGGGTGGCAGCAGGTCCCGGTGTTCTTCAGCTGACTCTGGAGATCTGGCGAGAGCCTTTGGGTTAGGTCGGGCATGCCCCCCCTACAGGCGGATGTTGGACGAAAATGTTAACATACAAAATTACCCCAGTGCGACCATACCTAGAAGTTGGAGCCCTAGGAAAGCAGCATTAGTTGCTATACTATGCTATGCTATGCTACGCTATGCTACGCTATGCTATGCTATGTTATGCCATGCTATGCTGCGCTATGCTATGCTATGTTATGCTATGCTATGCTATGCTATGTTATGCTGCGCTATGCTATGCTATGCTATGCGATGTTATGTGATGCTATGATATGCTAGGCTATGCTATGTCATGCTGCGCTGTGCTGTGCTAAGCTATGCTATGATGTGTTAAGCTATGCTAAACTGCGCGATGCTATGCTAAGCTAAGCTATGCTATGTTATGCTACGCTATGCTATGTTATGCTACGCTATGCTATGTAATGATGTGCTCTGCTATGCTAAAGCTCAGGGAAGCTAAGATGAAGGTCAGCTAAGCTAAGATAATCCTGAGCTAAGATGAAACTAAGCTAAGCTAAGATGAAATAAGCAGGCTAAGATGATATAAGCAGCACTAAGCTAAGGGGACGTAGCTGGGGGAACCGCGGGGTGGATACTGGGGGAACCGCCCGGGGCGGTGTGCACTGCCCGGCCCCTTTAAGAAAGAGAGTAAGAACCCTCTAGGCAGAGCCTAGGTAGGGAAACATGTGAAAACATGATTAAAATAGTCAAACAATTGTCCCCAGACTATTGTTTTACCTAACAGCGAAGACTGATAGGCTTCTAGTAGGGTCAAAAGAAAGCAGCATGACTCCCCAGCGGGGTCTGGGCGGGATCCGGGCGGGTGCCGCGGAAAACCGGGGACCCTTTTTAGCCAACGGTAGGCCACTTCGTGGTCTTCGAGTTCCCAGAACTCCATTCCTGGGCATGATTTTGAATGCCCGGAGCCAACTGTAGGCCACTTCGTGGTCTCCGAGTTCCCAGAACTCCATTCCTAGGCATGATTTTGAATGCCCAGAGCCAACTGTATGCCACTTCGTGGTCTTCGAGTTCCCAGAACTCCATTCCTGGGCATGATTTTGAATGCCCGGAGCCAACTGTAGGCCACTTCGTGTTTTTCGAGTTCCCAGAACTCCATTCCCGGGCCATTCCCGGAACTCCATTCCCAGAACTGAGGCTGAGGCTAAGGCATGCTGACGCTGCGGCAGGCTGAGGCTGAGGCCGAGGCTAAAGGCAGCCTGAGGCTGAGGCTGAAGCAGGCCGAGGCTGAGGCTGAGGCTGAGGCTGAGGCAGGCTAATGCTGAGGTAGGCTGGGGCTGAGGCTGAGGCTGATGCAGGCTGAGGCTGAGGCAGGCTGAGGCCGAGGCTGAAGGCAGACTGAGGCTGAGGCTGAAGCAGGCTGAGGCTGAGGCTGAGGCAGGCTGAGGCTGAGGCTGAGGCAGGCTGATGCTGAGGCAGGCTGAGGCTGAGGCTGAGGCTGATGCAGGCTGAGGCTGAGGCAGAGGCTGAGGCTGAGGAGGCTGAAGCAGGCTGAGGCTGAGGCTGAGGCTGAGGCTGAGGTGAGGCTGAGGCTGAGGCTGAGGCTGAGGCTGAGGCTGAGGGCTGAGGCTGAGGCTGAGGCTGAGGCTGAGGCAGGCTGAGGCTGAGGCTGAGGCTGAGGCTGAAGGCTGAGGCTGAGGCAGGCTGAGGCTGAGGCTGGAGGCTGAAGGCAGACTGAGGCTGAGGCTGAAGCAGGCTGAGGCTGAGGCTGAGGCTGAGGCTGAGGCTGAGGCTGAGGCTGAGGCTGAGGCAGGCTGATGCTGAGGCAGGCTGAGGCTGAGGCTGAGGCTGATGCAGGCTGAGGCTGAGGCAGGCTGAGGCTGAGGCCGAGGCTGAAGGCAGACTGAGGCTGAGGCTGAAGCAGGCTGAGGCTGAGGCTGAGGCAGGCTGAGGCTGAGGCTGCTGAGGCAGGCTGATGCTGAGGCAGGCTGAGGCTGAGGCTGAGGCTGATGCAGGCTGAGGCTGAGGCAGGCTGAGGCTGAGGCCGAGGCTGAAGGCAGACTGAGGCTGAGGCTGAAGCAGACTGAGACTGAGGCTGAGGCAGGCTGAGGCTGAGGCTGAGGCAGGCTGAGGCTGATGCAGGCTGAGGCTGAGGCTGTGACTGCGACTGCCGTTGCCAATGCGACTGTCATCGCGAATGCGACTGCGACTGCTAGAACAGCAGAAATCGCCAACTGGATTATCATCTGTGGTGCACATCGCTGTTAGCTTCTACGCATCGCTATTAGGTTGCTTTGCCGGGATAATCTATGTTTGAAGTTTCCTCCTGTAAAGGGACACGCCCGACTTAACCTTTCGGGAACCGGATGGTGTACGTGGTGCGTTTCGACCAGCATTCCGAGGCGCACCCAGCCGTGGCGACTAGTGCCTCCCAGACAGCCCAAGCCATTTCAGTCCACAGTGATACCGTTAGGTCGGGCGTGTCCCCCTAAAGGCGGATCTTGGACGAAGAATTAAACACACGCCGTAAATGCCCCCAAACATGTTCAACAATACCGAAAAAGACCGTCCCCAGACGATTGTGTTTTGCCAATGTTAGAACATTCCCTCCTGTAGAGGGATGTCGTGCCCGACTTAATGCTACCAGTCGCTCGCGCGATCGGTAGCCGGCGGGGCGCGCCACACGAATGCAGGTAGAGATGAGGAGGGCGGTTGCAAAGGAGAAGGGGGGAAGCCTCAGCCGCAGCGAGTCTGCGCCATGAGGAGGGCGCGGGCGGTCTCGGGCACTGGAAACCAATGTACTTCCAGGAAGGAGGCCAAAGCAGGTGAACACGGGACAAGGGTAGCGGTATTGGTGCCTGTTCCTCCTCCGACCTTGCGGAGTGCGCGCGGATGTCACAGTAGTATTCGGACCACTTCCCGCAGGACCCGAAGTTCGTGTTCATGCACGCCAGGGCGGGTGCGCCAGGGCGCCGCACGAGCTCAAGCAGCCGCCTCAAGACGAAGCCTGGACAAGGACAAACTCGGACAGCTTCTGGAGGATGTGTCGGGCGCCGTGGTCTTCTTAGAGCGTTCCAGAACGCGCTGGAGCGATTTGTCTCTGTCCAAGCCCCGCCCGACGCCTCTTGGGGGAGGTGGGCTTCGGATGGCCAGTGAAGTGGGCGATCACGGCGCCCTTGGTGCAGTGCTGGTCGCAGGGCTTCGTCTGACCTGTTGGCGGTGCCAATGAGGGGATGGCGTGAGGGGGGGGCTTTCTAAGGAGGCGGCGGGGCTTCTACGAAGGCAGGTGGGCTCGTAGAAGCCTGCCTGGCTTCCAAGAGGCCTTCTCAGAAACCTCCAGGGCCTGTAAGAATGCCTTTGCCTTCTAAAATGCCCCGCACCCCTCTGCATAAGCCGCCCCCCTCGCGCCACCCCTCTATGGGCGTCGCCACGCCTGGCTGGATGCCCACTGTGTCCACGCAATTGAACTTCCGGTCGATCGGAAAAATCTTGCCACGATAATAGTCGTTGATCAGATTCTGGTCGAGAATCTGCTCCCGGCGGCGCTGCGTGACCATCAAGAGCATCGACCGGAACACCTCTAGGTTTGGCTTGAAGAACATCACCCCGCTGTTGTACTCATCCTTGCAGCCGTCCTTCGCCATTGCGATGTGCTCAAGCGAAGGAAGCTCCATCTCCTCCACCAGCCACCTGACGCGATCCTTGAAAATGTATGTGTCCGAGTCCATGAAAAGTACCCGCTTGAAGGGCAGGCGGAAAGCATTGATTTTCTCGAAACTATCATGCCACCGCCCCAGGAACTCCAGGTCACAGGCTTCTCCGCAGTAGTCGCCCTCCCAGTTCGGCACAGTTATCAACTTCCACCCCGCCCTTTTCAAGAGAATCTGCATTTTCCATGGCATGCCCTCGATGATCATGGCCACCCTGACGTATTCTGGCAGGTACTTCTGTGCAGATATGCCCAGCATCACCGCCCCATCGATGTACTCTGGATTATTCTTGCCTGCAAATGTGACGATCGCCGTGTGATGATGAGGTTGTTGCAACTCTCGGTAGAAGGACGTGCGATTGTCCAAAGGGGTGAAGTCCATGGGGAGTATGTACGAAACGTTCTCAATCCATTCGTGCCTTGGCTCCTGGCATGTCTCGTTCAACTGCTCACTGAAATTTTCGTCGGACATTCTCACTCCAAATTTTTCGGCAGTCATTCGCTTGTCCTTTCTCGTCATCATGCCCGCGTGGCAGCAAGGGCCCGAGCTCCAGAGCTCATTCCGGAGCTCTGGCGACAGCCTCTGGGAGTGCGTACGGATGTCGCAGTAGTACTCGGACCTGCGGGGGACTGGCTCAGGGGGGCAACGTCGAGCTGGAATCGGCAAGACTTCGCCGATAGGTCGGCGAGCCCCTGACAGCGAATCCGCACATGTCCAAGCGAAATGGACTATCGGGCCCGACCGGCGATGAATGGACGATTGGGGGTCGCTGAGTCCACCCCGGAGCCCACCCCCCCGATCGCTGCCCCTATGGACCACTTCCGGCAAGCTCCCAAATCCGTGTTCTTGCAGACCTGGTCCGGGGCGCCGGGGCGCCGCACGAGCTCAAGCCTCTCGGGGGAGGTGGGCTTCGGATGGCCTGTGAAGTGGGCGACCACGACATCGGCACATGGCTCGCCTGGCTTCGTCATGCCTGGATGTACGCCCACTGTTTCCATGCAGTTGAACTTCCGGTCGATCGGGACGATCTTGCTGCGATAGTAGTCGTTGATCAGGGTCTGGTCGAGAATCTGCTCCCGGCGGCGCTGCGTGACCATTAAGAGCATCGACCGGAACACCTCGAGGTCTGGCTTGAAGAACATCACCCCGCTGTTGTACTCGTCTTTGCCGCCGTCCTTCGCCATTGCGATGTGGTCAACAGAGGGCAGCTGGATTTTTTCTACCAACCACCTGACGCGATCCTTGAAAATGTATGTGTCCGAGTCCATGAAAAGTACCCGCTTGAAGGGCAGGCGGAAAGCATTGATTTTCTCGAAACTATCATGCCACCGCCCGAAGAACTCCTCGTCACAGCCTTCTCCGCAATACTCGCTCTCCCAGTCTGGCACAGTGATCAACTTCCAACCAGCCTTTCTCAAAAGAATCCGGTTCTTCTGGTTCATGCCTTTGATGATCATGGCCACCCTGACGTAGTCTGGCAGGTACTTCTGGGCGGACATTCCCAACATCACCGCGCCATCGATGTACTCCGTGTTATTCTTGCCTGCAAAAGTGACGATCGCCGTGTGATGATGAGGGAACTGCAACTCCGAATAAAAGGGAGTATGATTGTCCCGGGGTGTGAGGTCCATGGGGAGTATGTGCGACATGTTCTCTACCCACTCTGCCGTGAGGGCGCGGACATGACTCTTTTTGTCAAGGATTGTCTTGCTCTGGCAGACATCGACGATGCCCGCCAGCGCCAGCGCCAGAAGTCGTGAGCAACGCATGGATATGTATCTGGACAGCAATCGCCTACAACAGATTTAATGTTGGAATGGAGCGAAAGAAGCGCAGGGAAGAAGAGTTGTGTTATCTGTAGATGTGCAATGTGTCGACCTGTGCACCGGACCGAAAGGGCTTTGAGCCGAGGCCTACAGCGCCTTGCACTGCAACGCACGCCTGAACCCAGAATGCTCTTTACACGAACGCACCTTGCAGTCCACAAAAAAACACGCCTTGCACGATAAGACTGAACACACATCTATGCAATGACTAAAGCGTGCAAAAGTGCGAGGCGGGGGCTTATCCATATCCACCGCCTGGGAACCGATGTCCTGGGGACCCAGCGGGCGGTGGATGTGGATATATATTTCGGCCCCGCGGGTGACGAATATATCCATATCCACCGCGTGTGAAGGTCTGCGAAAATCTATCCTCCAGGCGGTGGTTATGCATACATTCCCGATTCGAGAACAAACATTTTGCGCAAAGACAGTGCCTAAAAGCAGCTGCCAGCACCCTGCACCCCAGGGCGCCCCCTCTGCTCGGGGGCACGCAAACATAGATTGGCGGTCCATGGATTTGGCGCGCGGCCTCCCCAAGATGCGGTCGGTGCCGCCTCGCTCGGCGGCGTGAATCCGCGATTTACCATGAAAACGGGACACGTCGCTAATCCACGCCCCCTTGATCCATGTTTGCGATCGCCTGATCTGCGCAACAGAAACTCTTCGGGTCGGGCAGGGGCCCTCCCCCACGCGAGGGCCGATGCCTCGACTCGCCATCGCTCGGACCGACGGCCATTCCCTGTGCATTGTTCGGTTTCGTGCGTGCATTGCTTCGCCAGGTGATGACCCCAAATGCCCCCTGGATAGTCCCCGTCGAAGAGAAATCCACACGCCCGAGCAACGCCAAGGCGATTTCCTCCCGCACATCGGAACGGCTCGTGATTCAGATCCTCGGGAGCCTTACCCAAAACTCGGCGGCGACCGACTTACAACCAAGATGCGGTGGCAATAAAATCAAGGTGCGGTCGCAATAAGATCAAGATTGCCACCAGGTCTTGATTGTAGATCGCGCGCGCGCACTGCTGCCATCTGCGGCCCATTAGCGGATTGACGAGCCCCACAAGCGAAATTGGTCTCGGCGCAGTACCGGTTTTTTGCACCTTGAGATTACCACGTCAAAACATGGGGAGGAGTGAGAAGGAGAAGGCCTTCCTTGAGCGCACGAGAACCGCCCCCCGCCCCCCACATGAGGAACTTTAGACCAACTACACCGCGCGCGCGCCCCTCCCCCCCCGCGGCAGCTGGCAATGGCCTCGCTAACAGGGCGCCTACCCTTACGCACGCTCGCCATAAGTTCAAATCGGTGACATGCAACGTCCATTGATGTGGGGGCTGGGGTCGGTTTCCCACTGTTCATTCTCAGAAGGCGGCGAGACTTTTCAGAAGCCCTCGTGCCTTCTGAGACATGTTTGAAGTCTTCGGGGAAGGCTTAGAGTGATGGGCCTGTTTTCCACCGCCACCACCATAAGTTGGAGGGGGAAGGAGATGGAGGGTGAGGAGGAGGAGGAGGAAGAAGAAGAAGAGGAGGATGATGACCCCCTCCCCCTCCAACTCGTGGTGGTGGTGGTGGAAAACAAGCCCATCATAGAGAACTTCCCCGAAGGCCAGGGGCCTTCCGAGCCCTCTGAGTTGGCCCGCCGTCTCACCCTTCCCCCCTGGGCTCGCCGCCGAAAAACCTCCTGGCATGTCGGCGTCGAGGGTACAGGGGTGGAGATAGCGAGGCGGACGAGCCTCCAAAAACCCAGGGGCATCCTCGATTGCCGAAGGGAACAAAAAGCAGCCACGGCACCCTCCTGCGTCGAGCCGAGAGAGCAGCCCGCAATGCCAATGCCGGACACCGGCATACTCCGAGCCCTCGATCTCGACTGGGCGAGCAGCATCGCGTGCCGCGTCGGGGTTCAGTGGACATGACAACTGTTCTGCGGGAGAAGATGGAAGAGACCGAAATGTACGCGCGGTCTGCCAACACCTGACAGGGGCTCCTGTCTCACTCTCGGCAGCACTTCAAGTCAGACCACCAATGGACGTTTTTGACTTGAGTCAAAGTGGCAACGGAGGGGTCGCTTTGAGTGGTCTTGAAAACAACTTACGCAATCTTCAGGCCTTCGTGAGCGCTTGAGCGGCTGGAGATCGGCTTTGGAGGCCCCAAGCGCGGGTGTACCAGATCGGATGTTGTGTTTGTTGACCAGCATTTCCTGTCCAATGTAGGTTACATGCGCATGCAAATATGCGCGTTAATATATGTGCACACGTACATAATCCAAAACATATCCACATGTGAGGTCCAAGCGCCAAGTGAGGTAACCGTGAAAAAAAATCGTTCAACCTAGATCAAACATGCAAGCGAAGAGGCGACGCCCCTTTTTGGCGACAACGGACATGGACGACATGAAGATGAGCACGAACATCTGTACATATGTGTGAGAATGTGCAGAGTTGCCTCCCTCTCTCTCCGATTCTGCATACGAAGACATGTGTGTACAACAACGTGTATGTAACTATGTGCGCAAGCACATATATCCTTGTATATTACGGTTTACCTATATGATGATACCAGGGAAAAGCCCCAATCGAACATTGTTTCTATGGCTATAGGGCAATCGGGGTGTAGGGCTATCGGGCTATAAGGCTATAGGGCTATAGGGCTGTAGGGTTATAGGGCTATAGGGCTCTGCGGCTATAGGGCTATATGGGCCATATGGCTATTGGGACATAGGGCTACAGGGCTATAGAGCTATAGGGCTATAGGCCTATAAGGCTAAAGGGCTATGGGATGTTAGGGCTGTAGTGCGGTAAGGCTATAGGGCTATAGGGCTATAGGGTTATAGGTGTATGTGGCTATGGGGCTAGGGCGATAGAACACCGGGGCACCCCCGGGCACCTCAGGGCACCCCCGGGCACCCCCGGGCACCTGGGCACCGGCACGCGGGATGGAAGCTCCGATTGGGAAATATATCTATATATATATATATGTGTGTATATATGTATGATTGGCAAACTCCAATGCAGCATTGGCGCGCAAAGCGCTCCAGGGGGAAGGATCCAATGTCGATCTAGGAAATCTGCGCAGACTTCCGAAAACCCGGGTTTGCGCAATTTCCCCTTCACCCCTTCACCGAACGAGGGGAGGGCGGAGAGGGCACAAAGGGCGGACAGCGAGGCGGAGGGCCACTGCGGCTGGCTGCCAGGGGCCTCTGGGTGACCTCCCACTCCTCGCCGACGGCGGCCGCGACGCGCACGGGCCTGGCGGGCTGGCGGGCGGCACGGCACCAAGCTGGTCGAGGAGGGGCGCGCGGGCACGCAAATGTGACTCGTGTGCTCCGTCTGCTCTCCTCCGCTGCGTCGCCCATCGCTTCTCCTCGTCCCCTGGCCTGCGACTTCCTCAGGCAGCTCTTCGACGGCGGCGATCGGCTGCGGCGTGCTGGCCCCGCGGCATTTGTTGGCGCCACCGTCATGAGGACTGCTGCTGGCGTCAGCGCACGCGCGCAGAGGGGGAGGGCGGGGGCGGGCGGGTTGTGTGTTGGACGCCCACGCGAAGCAGCTCTGCCCGCTGGCAGGAGGGGGAAACGAAGAAGCCTTGAGGGCAGAACGGGTCCTCGGCCCCAAGGCTCTCCCCTGGGACCAGCGCTCTCTGGCGGTCCTGGGGAGGGTCCTGGGAGACCGCAGCCGAACAAAAGGCTACAGCAGAAGAACCCGCGTCCCTCGTGGAAGCGCAGGGTCGGGCTCTTCCTCGCTCGAGCTGCGCGGGGCAGAGGCGCGAGTGTCTACTGCACGATACGGACGGCGAGCGCCAGCTCGCAGCGCGTATGGACGAGGCCAGATCGGTGCCGACAGGGAGACGAGCGCAGAGGATCTAACAATGTCGCCCCTACTTGTCACCCAACGCGGACTGATCTGGAAGAAATACTGGATCTCCGCTGCACTCGGGCTCTTGACAAACATGTGCCTACTGCAGGTCCGTCGTTGAGGACGGGGGTGCCTCCTCAGAGGACGACGTGACCACAAATCGCCAGTCCGCCATGTGCGTCTACCGAACGACCCCAACAAGGGAGCAATCCCTGCACGGCTGGTTGTGTGTTGCGCTGTGAATGCGGCTGCTGATGCTGACTCTTCCATGAGGCCTCTGACAAGGCTCGTTGGAGCTGTTACCATTCCTTTTCTTGCATGAGGGAGAAGAGCACAACGGAGCCACATTCACTAGAAGGTTGCTTCTCTCAAGGGCACAGGCTGAATTCTTGCGATAACCAATACTTGGGCACTGGAAGCCATCATGGCCCCAGTCCAGCGACCAGGAACCCCCTTATCATAATGAATTCGACGGCGCCGAATTCCCAAGAGACGTACCCACCCATGACGACAAAGCGGAGGATACTTACGACAGCTGCCCACGTGGCATCACCCATGGAGGCATTTCTAATTTGTGTCTGAATGAGACGCCACTCCGACGAGCCACCCCGAGTGCGCAGGAAAATGCCGACAATCCCGCCTCGGGCAGCGCCCGGTAGGCGAAATCTAACTTGAATCTGCGCAGGAGGTCACCCCGTTGGGCCCGCCGGGTCACAGGAAAATGGCGACTGCTGCGCGTATGGCCACGCCTGGGAGGCGGTCTTTCTGACTCTACGCAGGACGCCACCTGCTGGATCTCAAATGGCGGTAGTTTCACGTTTGGTCGGATCTGCGCAGGACGCCACACCGCTGGATTCCCAGGAATGCACGAAAATGATGGTAGAGACACATATGGCAGCACCCACGGAGGCGACCAGGTCTAGTTCGGATCCGCACAGGATGCCACCGCGCTGGTGTCCGTGGCGCGTATGGCAGAACGCAGGGAGGCGAGGCCAACGTCGGATCTGCGCGGCCGCACACTTGCTGGACCCCATCCGGTGGCGCAAGATCGTGGCGGCACTGGGAAATGCTGAAATGCGGCAACACCTAAGGGAGGACAGTTCACATTCAATCTGTGTAGGACGCAACTTCTGCTGGACACCATCAAGGGGCGCAGGGAAGCTGCGGCAGCTGCAGCTCTCTGGAAGCGCCCCGATTGGACCTGTTGAGAGACCACTCCATGGGACCCCCCGATCGCAGGAGAGTGGCGCCCTTCCTTCGCTTGGCAGCACTCAGGGCCAGCGAGGTGGGGCTGGAGACGCGAAGAGGGAGGACGGGGACAAGAGGAGAGGAGAGGAGGAAGGCAGCAACAGGAGCAGGAGGAGCAGGAGCAAGAACAACAGTCATATTCAGAGCGAAGGTCCAAGCACAAGGGTGTTCGGGAAGACAAGCATACAGGTGAGAGGGGGGACATAACAGGAATACGATGCATGATGCGGTGGGAGGCGGAAGAAGAAGCTGAACGATGGACAATCTACTCAAAACGAGTATCCGACCAACGGGCTTCGGGACGGAAGCTCAAGGAAACTGGAGCAGTCAAGCAAGAGCGAACAACATATGATAATGAGGAGCAGGAGGAGGAGGAGAAGGAAGAGAAGCTGGAGCAGGATCAACAATTGGATGATCAGAAAAACATGTATACATAAGAGACGAAGGGCACGAGAGGAATGGGGGATAGAAGGCGGCGGGAGGTGGGAGGGGAGGCTGAGCCACGAGCACCTGGTTTAAACACCAGACCAAAGGAGGTTGAGGCACGGATGGTCCAAAGCACTGGAGCAAAAATGAACGAGCAACGAATTCCAGATTTCTAGCTCTGGCCTCCGCCGTTGCACATGTTTTTGCCCGGCCCTCCCGCGCGAACCACCAGCGTGCGGCGCTGCTCTCTTCGGGCGCTGTCTGAAGTGACCCTGGCCCAAGGTGGCCCTGGTTTCTTCAGGGCAGCCCAGGTGGCCTCCAGAGCACCCCTCACGAGGCCCATAGGGTCCCAAGACGCTACACAATGGCGCTTTGGGCCAGGAGACCACTCTTGGCAACCTCCGATCTTTTGGTGCGGCAATGCGCTCCAGAGCCATCACGGAGGAGCGCAACTCACGCCCCTTGCCACGCAGTCCGCGGCCTCGGGGTCGGCGCCGAGGTCCAGCAGCAGCTCTGCGTGAGCATCGTTTGACCGATCCCTGTCCCCACTGGCGTGGCCTTGGCCCCACTGGCCGAGTTGTCCGCCTGGGTGGGGTATAACCTCATCCAGTATTGATCGTTAGCACCGCACAAAAAAAATGCCATGGGGGGTCGCCGAACGATAACTTCAGCACCGTGCCGAACAGCAAAACAACGTAGTATCCCCCCACCCCCCGCAACCGACAGCTATAAGAAGCACTGGCGGCAAGAACGCAAGGACCTTGACATTCGTTCTGGAAATTCACACGAGCTTCACGGATTGAGGGCGGTGTGTTTTCAATATGTTGCTCTCAAGTTGCACGCCTTTCCCGGATCGAGGGAGGCTCGCTTTCAAAATGTGGCTCTCGCCTTGGCGCCGCGCGCCTTCGTTTTAGAAAGTTGCAGGAGTTTCACGGGTTGAAGGCGGCTCGTGTTCAAACTGTGGCTCTATCCGTAGCGCCGCGCACATTCGTTTAAATATTACACAAGCTTCACGGATTGAGGGCGGCTCATTTCCAATATAGATTCTCAAGGAGGTGGCCTCGCCGAGTTCCACAGTGAGCTGGCCTCGCTGCTCAGCGCGCGCGCGTGCTGTGGTGGTGGTGGTGGTGGTAGTAGTTGTAGCAGCAGCAACAGCAGCAGTAGTAGTAGTAGTAGTAATAGTAGTAGTAGTAGTAGTAGTAGTAGTAGTAGTAGTAGTAATAGTAGTAGTAGTAGTAGTAGTAGTAGTAGTAGTAGTAGTAGTAGTCGTAGTCGTAGTAGAAGTAGTAGTAGTAGGAGTAGTAGTAGTAGTAGTAGTAGTAGTCGTAGTAGTCGTAGTAGTAGTAGTAGTAGTAGTAGTAGTTGTAGTAGTAGTAGTAGTAGCAGCAAAAGCAGTCGTAGCCGTAGTAGTCGTAGTAGTCGTAGTAGGAGTAGTAGTCGTAGTAGTAGTAGTACTACTACTACTACTCGTACTAGTAGTAAGAATAATAGGCGCCGTCGCCGTAATAATAATAGTAGTAGTAGTAGTAGTAGTAGTAGTAGTAGTAGTAGTAGTAGTCGTGGTAGAAGTAGTAGTTCAAGTAGTAGTAGTAGTAGTAGTAGTAGTAGTAGTAGTAGTAGTAGTCGTAGTCGTAGTCGTAGTCGTAGTGGTAGTAGTAACGGTACTGGTAGTCGTAGTCGTAGTAGAATTATTTGTAGTAGTACTGATGATATGAGTAGTAGTAGTAGAAGTAGCAGCAGCAGCAGCAGCAGTAGTAGTAGTAGTAGTAGTGGTAGTAGTAGTGGTAGGAGTAGTAGTAGTAATAATAATAATAGTAGTCCTAGTAGTAGTAGTGGTAGTAGTAGTAGCAGTAGTAGTAGTAGTAATAGTAAAAATACTAGTCGTAGTAGTAGTAGTAGTAGTAGTAGTAGTAGTAGCAGTAGTAGTAGTAGTAGTAGTAGCAGCAGCAGCAGCAGTAGTAGTAGTAGTAGTAGTAAGAGTAGTAGTAGTCGTAGTAATAGTAGCAGTAACCGAAAGAGAATTAGTTCACCGTAGCGACGCTAGGTGCAATAGGAACAACTCAGCTGTGTAATAATACTGTTACTGTTTCTCCTTCTGTGTTCCGTCCTATGCGATTCCTACTACAGGACCCAATGAAACAATTCTGTTCGTCGGCCGACCTGGGGGGTGGTCCACCCCAGGGTACCGCCCCCGCCCCGCACAGAGCGTTTTCTTAGCATCACGGCACGGCGGAAAAAGAAAGTCCCGTCCGAGAGTAGTCGTATTAATGATACTGTGAGAAAACGAAACACTTGCATTTGGCAACGCGCGGGGGTAGTATCAAGAATACTTGTAATAGCAGTAGTCGTATTAGTGGTAGTTGTAGTACTAATAATCGGACCAGTAGTAATAGCAGCCGTAGTCGTAGTCGTAGATGCATTGAGCATAATAGTCGTAGTCGTAGTCGTAGTCGTAGCAGTCGTACTAGCAGTAGAAGTAGTGGTAGTAGTCCTAGTAGTAGTAGTAGTAGTAGTAGTAGCAGCCGTAGTAGTAGTACTAGTAGTAAAACAAGTGGTAGTAGTAGTAGTAGTAGTAGTAGTAGTAGTAGAAGTAGTAGTAATATTAGTAGTAGTAGTAGTAGTTCCAATAATAGTAGTAGTAGTAGTAGTAGTAGTAGTAGTAGAAGTAGTAGTAGTACGGGTGCGGATGCTTACTCGTAGTAGTTGTTGCTGTAGTCGGAATG